ATTGATGTAAGTGGGGTGCTAAAGTCCCCTACTATATTTGTAATATTATTGATTAGTTCCTTGAAGTTTGTTATTAACTATTTTATGTATTTGGGTGCTCCAGTGTGGGGTGCATAAATATTTACAGTTGTTACATCTTCTTGTTGAATTGTCCTGTTCATCATGATATAGTGCTCTTCTTTGTCTCTTGTTTCAGTTTTTGTTTTAAAGTCTATTTTGTCCAATACAAGTATTGCTACTCAGGCTTTCTTTTGACATCCATTTGCATGATAGATGTTTCTCCAGCCCCTGGCTTTCAATCTGCAGGTGACTTTAGATTTAAAATGAGTCTCTTAAAGGCAGAATATAAATGGGTCTTGTTTGTTCGTTTGTTTTTAATCCATTCTGTCCCCCTGTGTCTTTTGATAGCAGTGTTGAGTCCATTTACATTGAAAGTAATTATTGATAAATGTGTATTTATTGCCATTTTGTTACATTTTTGGGTTGTTTCTGAAGTTTTTCTCTGATCCTTCTTGTGTTTCTCCCTTTCATAATTTGCTGGTTTTCTTTAGTGATATAGTGGGATTTCTTTTTCTTTATTTTGCATGTTTATTGGTGGCTTTTTGATATATGGTTACATTAGATTTGTATTTAACATCTGCATTTAGCAGTCTGTATTAAGTTGATGGTTGTTTAAGTCTGAAACCATCTTTACTCCCTGCCTCCCTGTATTTTAGGTATATGGTATCAGATTTTACATCCTTTTATTTTGTGAATTCCTTGACTGATTTTTTATTGGAATGTTCATTTTTACTACTCTTGTGTCTTCTACCTTATACTCTCCTTTCTTTCCTTTTCACTCAAAGAGTCCCCTTTAATGTTTGTTGTGGAGCCGGTTTACTGGTCATGAACTCCTTTTGTTTGTCTGGGAAACTTTTTTTTTTTTTTTTTTAAGATTTTATTTATTTACTTGACAGCTCACAACTAGGCAGAGGCAGGCAGAGAGAGGGGGAAGCAGGCTCCCTGCTGAGCAGAGAGCCCGATGCGTGCCCGGATCCCAGGACCCTGAGATCGTGACCTGAGCCGTAGGCGGAGGCTTTAACCCACTGAGCCACCCAGGCACCCCGTCTGGGAAACTCTTTTTCTCTCCTTCTATTCTGAAAGATAGCCTTGCTGGATAGAGTATTCCTGGCTGCCAGTTTTCCCCATTCAGCACTTTGAATACCTCATGCCACTCCTTTCTGGCTTGGAAAGTGTCTGCTGAAAAATCCACTGATAGCCTTATGGGGTTTCCCTTGTAAGTTATTGACTTCTTTTGTCTTGCTGCTTTTAATATTTTTTCTTTATTACTCTATTTTGTTATTTTAATTACATTATGTCTTGGTGTGGATCTGCTTTTATTGATTTTGTTGGGGTTCTCTGTGCCTCCTGGATCTAGATATCTGTTTCCTTCCCAGATTAGGGAAGTTTTTAGCTATTCTTCAAATAAAATCTTTGATCTCTTTTTTTTTCTCTCTTCTGGGATTCCTACAATACAAATGTTAGGTTCGATGGAGTCACTGAGTTCCCTAAGTTATTCTCATTTTGCATGATTCTTTTTCTCTCCTTGTTCAGCTTGATTACTTTCCATTACTCTGTATTCTAGGTCATTAATTTGTTTCTCTTTCTTCCATCTTGCTGTTCACTCCATCAAGCGTTTTCTCACCCTGTTTATTAAGCCCTTTAACTCTGGTATATTACTCCTTCTCTCTGTTAATAGTCTCACTGATGTCCTCTACTCTTTTTTCAAGTCCAGCAAGTATCTTTCTGACCATTGGTTTAAATTCTCCATCAGTCATGTTACTTATGTGTGTTTTGCTTGTATCTCAGGTCATGGCCTGTCTGTTCTTTCATTTGGAATAAATTCCTCTGTCTTCTCATTTTATCTAAGTCTTCGTGTCTGTTTCTCTGTGTTAGGAATGACAGCTACATCTCCTCTTCTTGAGGGTAATGGCTTTACGAAGAAGAGGTCCTGTCGTGCCCTCCAGTGTATTGTACCATTTCCCCAGAGCCTGGCACTTCTGGGACTGTCTCTAATGTGTGCTATGTATGCTCTGTTATTGTGTCATGGCCACTTTGTCCTTCAGGCCAATCATCTGCAGAGGCTCTCTTAGGCTATTATGGGCAGTATTGGACCCTGGCCTGAATATGGTGAGTTTTAACTAGCTAAGCTCTGGTCTGCTTCTGAAATGAGAACTGTTGCCACAGCCACTAGAACTGAGGCTCTACAAAACTCCCAGAGTGTGAGTTTTGTGGTGTGGGCAGGGGTTTGGGCCAGTGTTCTGAGGGAGGGGGCCTGCGGTGCTGTGACTGAGGGAAGCTGATTGGGATGAACAGTTCCACCAAAGCGTGGGGGTGGGGCAGAGCTTGGTCTAAGCAGTGGGGTAGTGAGTGGTGGCACTGTACTGGGTCCTGCAGATGGCCCTGTGCTTATGGTGAGGTGTGGGGGAGAGAAATGGTACCCACCAGTGCCTTTGTTCCCAGAGGGATCTCTCCACGAATGCTGCCTCTCTGGGACACACTCCAAAGTGAGCAACTAACCTCCCCACTGTGTGCCCCAGGTGCTCTTCAGATCACTGTGTCCACATTGCATGTCCACTGGCTGTTTGCCCTGGCTTTTCTCCAGGAGCAGCCCAATGTTCTCTGAGGTCTCCCTGAGCCAAGCACGCAACCTTTAAGAACTGACAAAATGTGGGCCCTCTCATTTCCAAGCCAATTGCTATGGGAATTCATTTTCCTCATGTTCTCCCGTGTGCCAGTTTGTCTCTTGCCCTTCTGTGTGACCGTGGCAGCCATGATCACTTTCTCTCCCAAGCTACCTCTCTACCTTCTTCAATGGGGCCTCTTCTCTACCATTAGTTGTGGTTTGTTCTGTCAGTCTCCAGTTTGATTTCTGGGACGTTTAAGATGATATAATGATCTAGTTGTAGTCATGGGAAGAGGTGAGCCTAGGGTCCTCCTACTCCACCACCATTTTCCCCTCCTCTCTTGCTGCTTTTAAGATTTATCTCTCTTTAATTTTTGACATTTTATTTGTCTTGGCGTGGACCTTTTTGTGTTCAGCAGTTTGGGACTCTCTATGCTTCCTGGAACTGGATGTGTTTCCTTCCCCAGGTTTGGGAAGTTTGCAGGTATTATTTTTTATTTATTTATTTTTTTTAAGATTTTATTTGTCAGAGAGAGAGAGAGAGAGAGATCACAAGTAGGCCGAGAGGCAGGCAGAGGCAGAGGGAGAAGCAGGTTCCCTGCCAAGCAAGGAGCCCGATGCGGGACTCGATCCCAGGACGCTGGGATCATGACCTGAGCCGAAGGCAGCCGCTTAACCAACTGAGCCACCCAGGCGTCCCGCAGGTATTATTTTTTTAAGTTCTCCTTTCTCTCTCTTCTTCTGGGACTCCTATAATGGGAGGGCCCTTTAAGAGCAGAGTTCTAGTTTCCTATAGCCCTCTGGCTTTCCCCTAGTTAAGCCCTGCTGATTTTCAAAGTCCCTAGAGTTTCAAAGAAAGAGTTATGGGGTGGGGGGTGGTGTGTCTGGCTCATCTTCCCAGAACAAATCCCCAGGGCTGGGGCAGGAGTACCCAATGTGGAGTTTGAACCCTTCCCTCCCCAAGGAAGACATCTGTACATGTACTGTCCCTCCCACCCGCCAAGGATTTGGCTCTTTACTTGCCCCTCCTGCCCTTCTCAATGTGGCTTTTTCTCTGTATCTTCAGCAGCAGAAGAGATTTTTGCTAGTCCTCAAGTCATTCTCCAAGTGAGTTGCGCTATATGTAGTTGCAGCCTTGGTGTGTACATGGAAGGGACGATCTTCCTACTCTGCAGGTTCCCCTCTTATTTTTTGCCTAGTTGTTTCTGACACCACTCCTCTCCCCACCACTAGAGTGTGAGCCCTTTAGGGTGGGAATTTTTGTCTACTCTTTAGGTCCCCAGAATGCAAAACAGTACCTGACCCCACAATAGGTCCTCAATATAAATAGAATGTATGTGTAGAATGAATGAGTAGACCTCGAGGAACTTAACGTTCATGCAACTTTTTTCTGTTAGGATGGAAGGGTTGTAACTTCATGGTTCAGGAGAACCCTCAGTGCTTCGTTTATCTCTGTATAATTTCTAGGAACTTGGGCTTTTATTTTTTTAAGATTTTATTTTAGAGATAGAGCATGTGTGAATAGGGGAAGGAGCAGAAGGAGAAGGACAAGCAGACTCCGTTCTGAGAGCAGAGCCTGATGCAGGGCCCGAACCCACAACCCTGAGATCACAGGTCGAAATCAAGAGTCGGATGCTCAACTGACTGAGCCACCCAGGTGCCCCGGAACTTGGGATTCTGTTTTGATCCCCAAAAAAGAGTGAGCTATAATATACTTGGGTAAGATTTAGCTGTTACCGAGAAACAAAACCAAGATGTAAAAACAGGGCTAGATTAGGCCATTTATACATTTAATTGGAATAGTAATAATTATTGAAGGTTAAGAGAAATACCTGTTCACTTAATAATTTGTATCAGGAAAATTTATCCCTTTTAAAATTGGTATGTAGGTACAACCTGAAATTTCCTAAATATGTATAATATTATAAATATTATAGCTAATGTATAATATAAGCCAAATATTTTGTATAGTTGAATAAGCACTTGCCTAACTAGCATATGGTTTCCTGACTTTCAGAGACACGTAGAAAAATTCTAAATACCACAGAGTGGTATTGAGAATGGTATCACAGAGTATTAGCTCATGGGTCTTTGCATTTTGGTTCATTGTATTTATAAGTAAGTGGACTCGGGCACCATAAAAATAACAGCCCAGCATCCTTCCAAATTAATTATTCACTTTTGAAATGTTTTAGATTTACACACTCATAGTGGGCTGAGTGGGTCTGACTCCCAATATGGCATAGGAGTTGGGATTATGGAGAAATTCATCAAAGTTAATCTCATGTATACAGGTATTGACTAATCATTTAAAGTAATCCTTTGCTTCTTGCAGTGATTGGTGTCCATCTTGAATAAGGAAGTTTGAATTTCACAAATGTGCAATAATTCCATACCTTCCCTGCAGCATGCCTGAGCGTATAAGTTGTAATAAGGTATTACTCAAAGTAACAAATGATTGTTTATTAAGGACAAAATAAGCCTCTAGATTTGTGTATTTGCTAATAATAGTTCTGCTTGGCTTTACTGCAAACACTGTGAAACAGACAAATTCCCAAAGGATTCTCTGTCAAAATCATAGGTTTAGACTAAGTTAAAGCACTTGGCTATGTTTTCATATTTTTAGTGTAGATGAGAAAGATTCAGAGTTCTCTAGTGGCTAGAATCACGCTCTTCCCATGAGGCGGTCTTGCATAGCAACAATGAAGACCGATCCAAGTTAGTGGCTCTCTTAAACTAATTCAGTTAACTAAAGCAGAGATTACGGATTTCATGTAATAATTATGGCATGCTTAAACAAGTCGTTGTACTGATGATGAACCTTGAGAGCAGGACCAGTCAAGAGCTGCCTGAATAAATCAGCCTGTTATGTTTAACACACGCAGATAGTTCTCAGGCATTGGAGCATGCCACAATGATGTAAAAAGTTGCTCTGATATAGTCTTCATTCTAGAGCGAAACGTCACATTTTGTGCAAAAGTCTGTTTTTATACCAGTTACCAGTGTTCTGCAGGAGCAGCCTATGGACCGAGCTTCAGCTTAAACACATCTTTGTAGAGGTCATTAGATTGTTACACAGTTTAAATAATTTGAAGAGTCCTTGCTTTTCTAAACCACACTCTTTGAATGTCGGACATACTATGAAATTCTTCATTTGTGCATGTGTTTAAAAGCATCTGGCTTTTCCTACGTGGGAATATCTATTTAAAGGGAAAACCCAAGATATTTTCATGTAGAAATAAAAAGCCAAATGCTTTTGCGTCTGAGACTTCTTGGTTTATACAGTTTGATGTAACTAGGATCTCGGTGTCTCACTGGTAGCAAGACAATGCACTAGCATCCCAGGACTCCATGAGAAGACAGGTCCATCCAAACTATTTTGGTGCCACTTCCTACAGCCTTTGCCATGGCGCGCAGCTCCACTGTGGGGCTCGGGTTTCACTTTTAGTGTGAGTTCATGCAATGGTAGGACTTTGTGTTTACCTGCAAGAGTAAAATAACCATGGGCGTGAAATAGGTTTTGGCCGTCAATCACACCAAAAATTAAATGAAACCCAAGTCAAAACACTTCATTCTGAAAGTAAGTGTAACCTGTAGTAAATGAAATGACTTACTGCTGAAATGCTACAGTCTGATGAAAAATTTTCGTGACCTTACGGTAAACTGGACTTACACTACTCTATCCATTAGCAAGGTCTACTCGCTGAACTTCCCATAGGACAAGTCCTTTTCTCTCCGACAGGGTAGGAAAGATTTTGGAGGGGTAGCAAATTATTTATGCAAAGCTATTTTCTTTACAATGAACAGGCATAATGATAATTTCAAGGTTTACATACAGATAGAAGGAAAAGTCATCATTCTGAGTCTTCCTGATTGTAGGATTTTGAACATTCCTCACTTGGAGGAACAAAATCTCTTTGAGGACTCAGACTGTGATAGCAATTAGCCCCGTAAAGGGAAAGCAACATTAAATAAGCCTGACAGACAAAGAAATGCAGGCCATAAACAGATTTTTGTTTTTGTTTTTAATATCTATATAAAAAATAACGAGCAATTTACAGATCTCTTTCTCTAATCAGAACCTCAGATGTATATATAAAGGTACTGTACAATATATAAACATTTACAACCAGTACATCCATATTTTGCTTAGCATTCCAAGGCCACATTGCTAAGTCGGTATATAATCAGTACAGTGACGGGTTACTTAGAAAGAAAAGAGCCACATCAGACTGACAACATATGACATCAAAGTTATGTCACAGTTAACAATAAAAATAGGATTTTTATCACTAATTGTGGACTATAGGGAAAATAAATCATTTCTGTGGTGCTAAATTCTTAGCATGGATCAAGTCTCCTAATTTTTCTCTATTCAAGTAGTTACAAGAGGTGGGTAAATATAGTTCTGGATGAAAGGGGATTTCAGAAATCTCACTCTGGGAAGGCATGTCTCAGTTACAAGGGCGGCTTCAGTTGGTACATTAAAGACTTTCACAGTCGGACTGTGAGAGGACAGGGCCTGGACGTACCATGTTTCACAAGAACAAGATGAACCCGGGTGATGGAACAGGTATGTTCGAATACTCCATAAAATGGTTGTGTTCTGAGATCGGTCCTTTATTCATTGCTGCTACCGAATGGTGCTTCTGGGGCCTGAAAATCCTCGATCTCTTTTATGGAGCTAAAAACGGTCTCTACCTCCCAACAAACATCTTTACTTAGACTTTTAAAAAGAATTCTGAAAATGTACAAACTAAGCAGATGTCTAGTCTCCCTTTCTTGTTTTTTAAATAAGTCACTGTAGCTAGAAATTAAAACGAAATCAGATCTAGCAAGGGCTGTCTACTGCCACGTCTGTCCTCTTGCTGAGCAGGTCTGAACGCAGGTTCCGCTTCGAAACACCTGAGCTTGGACAGCTGCTGCCGGAGGCCCGGTCTGTATCTGTGAAACTGCTTGCTGCTCGAGGCCCTCACAATCCGTACCATGTTTTGACTCTTCACGTACGCACTATGTAGTAACGACTAACGAATGAGTAGTAGGAGGTCCAACCCAAATATCCAGAAATAGAAACCTGGCAGTTTTTCTCTGAACAGCAGTAAGCAGTATTTCCACATGCTTCTTTCTGGTTTTGTAACGAAATAAACTGAAGGAAAAGGGTGACCTGAGATGCTACGACCACATCAGGGTTGGATAATACAGCAGGAGAGGAACTCTTCATTGCCTAAAGCACTAGCTCATTTTAAACATCTAATTGTAAGTAATATCTTTAAGTTACTTGAAATACCTGATCCAGCCGAATTAAAAACCCAAAGAGAGTGTCGCTTTCTGACTCCATTTTGTTTTTCTTTTCAGTAGTGATGTTTTGGAGTTTCATTTTTAAGCTGGGCCTGGGCCATCACCAGTAGCTGGTAGAAAAGGCAACTGCCATGTTTAATGATGAGTTAACAGTTCCTTCTTCTGCAAGGACTCAAATGTGTCTCTCTGTAAACATGCAGCATGCTATTGAGAATATCAACTTCCAAGCCAAACCTAGTTTTTTCATTCCTGTGGAAATAGCTGAGTGAGACGGATAAAAGAGACATGGAACAGTAGATAACTTGGCACAGGTATCAAGTGAGTTGTGACCGCACTGTGCATATCTGCACGTGTGGGTGGGGACACCCACGGAGGTGGGCTGGGCCCCCCAGGAGCAGGCACGTCAGCTGCACGCGGAAGGGCGGCTGCCCCGGGACAGCTGGCTCACAGCGGTCCTGAGGCCCTTCATGCAGCCTTGCTAACAGGATGCTCAAGTTAAAATGCATGTGCTTCAGAATTTCTGCAAAAATTACTTTTTGGGGTTTTGTTTTGGAAAAATGCTATTTTTCAGTAAGAATAGATTACAACTTTTTTTACTTTGTTTTATACCAAAGGTCACAGTCGTTTCTCAGTCACACCTGTAGTGCCTGCGGCTTTGTGTGCACTTGGAACCTTCCAGGGCCCCGGAGTTATGGGTGTTTTCTTAACGGGAGAAGCACTCTCAGGTTGGAACCCTCTGCTCTCTCTGGTTCTGTCGGCCGCCTCTTGTTCTTTTCCTCGGGGAGCTGGGGTTTTGTTTAAAACCATCCTTTCTTCAGGATCCTGGTTCAGCTTCTTGTCTGATATTCTGGCATTTTCTCCTGGCTTCTCTTTGCTGGAACTTGTCTCTCCTAAGGTCACCTTCTTTCCTTTCTCCCGGTCAGATAATACTCTACCAGTGGCAGTACTAGTCTTTTTGGATGGGAGAGACTTTTCCTCCATTCTCTTGCTTTTTTTCTCTGGAGACCGTGTTCTGTTTTTTCCAGACTGGCTCTGCTTTGTGTCTTTCCGGACAACACCTGATTCTTCTCTGCCCTCGGAGATCTGCTCGGCCCCGTCCCTCGCACAGCGCCCTCCTCTCTGACTCTCAGACTCTGATAATCTGGCTTCGGTGTTCACTCGGCCTTTGTTTCCTTCAGGCTTTTGCTGCTTTTTTGGGCTGGAAGACCGTCCTCTGCTTCTTCCGCAGTGATCCTGTCCAGAATCTTCCCTGGTGTCCATCTGCCCCCCTTTCCTGTCTCCTTTCCTGGGGCTGAGTGATCGATCTCTGGGTCTTCTTTTGGGGTCAGCTGGTAGAGGACTGGGAAGCCTGTCCGAATGTTCTTCTGCGTGTCGGCCGGCGGGCTTTCTGGGACTAGCAGATCTGCCTCTTTGTGTAACACCGTTTTCTACTCTGAAGAGGTTTTTCTTGTCACTCTGCCCATGACTGCTGGGTGGATCCCTTTTATTCACATTTTTCTGGAGAAAAGAGTGCTGCTTTCTATCAGACAGATTTTCATTTAAAGTGCTTTTCTTTTCAGGCACACCATCTTTTAATTCCTCTGTCTTTTCATATATCTGACCTCTCATCAAAGATTCTTCAATTACTGGTGCGGGAAACTCCTCAAATACGGAAGCAGAATGGAAAGATGGGGGAAATGGCTGCTCGTCATAAATCACATTTGAAGATGAAGGAGTATTAACATCCCAATCACCTGCAAAGAGGGATTTGAGTGGGACATTATTACATTTTAGAATTATAAAGAGGAACTGTAAGTTGTGAACTCTGACAGCTCTTTGAATTGGACTAACTGCTCAAATAGTCTGAGTATATACGCTGAGCGCGCCTGATAAAGGCGGGCCGTATACACAGACAAGCACACAGACAGCTGCGCTTGTACACGAGGTGGTTGTACTCGTAGGCTGTTTAAATACACACAGAGTAACAGTCATTCTTCCAATAATTTATGTATAATTCGTGATACAAAGAATTTATACATCGTATATGGTAAGTAGTAACGCTCAATAAAAAACTTAGAAGAAATAATAAAATCAAACCAAATTACTTGGTTCAGGAAGCTTACTAATTTGGCTGTTATCAAAGGATACAGCTTATAGCTACGCCAAAATCACTAGTAAAGGAGACCCAACTGTGGTAGCCAGAACGAGGTTTCGTGGGCATTTGTCAATAATTTTCTTGCATTAAGCTGTCAAATTTAATGTCAAAAGAGAACTGAAAAGTGCAGAAGATAGAAAGATGTATTTAACAGCATTTTTAATTAAACAGAAAAAAAAGAAGGAAGTGATTTACAAGACATGCAAATTTACCAAGTCTTTTTAAGGAAAGACCAAGAAAAGCCCTGAAAGCCTTAATGTTGCTCAGGTTTCACGTAGGAGCACAGACCGGAAGGAGCCAAACCTGAAGAAGGAAGAGAAAAAGCCTAGGACTATGTAAAAAAAAAAAAAAAATCACAGCGCAGTTAGCAAAGATGTCACTGGGAACGTATGGTTTACAAGCAGGTGGTGGAAGATCACACAGTCAAAGAATTACAGGCTGGAGGGGACTGTAGGAGGTCATGTCTAGACTTGTCCCTCAATAGCTCTGGGGGCTGGGGGGAGGAAACTGGAAGGGACACGTCCCAGTGGTGTGGTGCTCTACTTCTAGGCTAGTGCACTTGATTCAACAATAAGCTGCAAATCCTGTGATACTTCAGAACTGTACAGTGAAACCCGGGAAGCTGAGGATCAGCACCGGAGTCCAGACGTGGTCCCACATCTGACTCCCTGACCCCAGGTGGGCCATAGTAACGTGTTTTCGGCAAGTGACCAGAAAAGCCTAAAGTTCTTAGCATTTGAAGAGATTTCAAATGTATCACTTGCTGCCCATATCCTTGTTTTTTTACAGGCACATTTCTCTACAAAAGCAACTATATGTTTCCTGTGGAAACTGCTTCACAAATTCCATCCCAACAAAACAATCAGGCCCAAAGGCACGGATTCTGCAGTATTATAATAACTCTGCTGTGTAACTAGTTTCAGATGGCTCTGCTGTTTACCTCTGAACTAGCCAGTAAACCCTCTCTCTCCTTCCACCAGAGCTTCCTTTCCTGCTGTTGCCCCCTCTCTAACACCCCAGCCCCCTCTGGCTCCGGGTAAGCTACGTGACTTACTGTGGTCAGGTATCAAGCCGGTTCCTGGCCTCAAAAGCAGAAGAACTTTATTTCCACCGGCCTGAATGAGCTCAATTGCTCGAGTATGTGTGATGCCTTGCGTAGGCTCTCCATTGATTTCGACGATCTGGTCACCCACCTAGAGAGGGAACATTCACAGGAACATGAAACTCTGCATCCTCTCTGCTGCTCTGGAGCCGCCCATGCTTGCTAACTGTCAGGCGCGTCACTCGTACACAGCGCTATCGTGCTAAGGCCAATGATGTGTGGACAGAGGATGGCCGTCGGAAGAGACGGGTCAGCTCGCTTTGCTCTAGAAATCCTGCAGGAGAAAGTTTTATAGGACTAGTAAATGGGGTCCAGGCCCCTTGAATTCATGAATCAGATTCTAAGTTTTCCACCAAAGGATAAGTAAGTGCCACCAGAGATAAGTTTGCTATGATCCACAGGGTACTGCAGGAGGGGATATACTGGACAGGGTACTGTGGAGCATAGCGCCTGTCACAGGCCTGCCCCAGGCTTGTCACTGAATGATCCACCCGTGAAGGGTACTTTCCAACTTGACCTGAATCTTGCATTTATTTTCTAAAATCTCGGCTCCTCATCTTTGAAGCCTTTCCCGGCCTGCGGGGAGAACTGCCTGCTCCTTTGTGTTGCCCACGCTCCCTGTACATGTACGAGGCATTCGGTAACTGGGATATTCAGAGATGGAAACTCTGACGAACTACAGCTTGGAGAATATACTGATTTAAAACGAGTAACTGGCTTACGCTAATGACTTTAATGTAAAATGATTTCCCTATGAAACAGAAAACTGGGGATCAGAAAAACATGTTAGTATCACTGCTGTATACTAGAAATGCTGTTTAGTTATTTAAAAAAAAGGGATAATATAGATGAGTCAAGTGTAACTTTTGGCAAAGGACCTGATCAAGGATAACAATGGTAGTGATTTAAAAATATGTGTCAAGGTGACAAGCATGCAAAGGGTACTGGCTTCCAAAGAAAAACTGAACAGTGGAAAACTACTGAAATTCCAAGAAGCTCAAATATTTATAAGAGCTTACTAAAATGATCCAGAAATAACACAACAGAAGATGACCCAATAATTATATAACAGAGGCTGCGGGAAGTCTGTATCCACAGACCGTGCGAAGCACAGGGGCCAGGAGGCTGGGCTTTGGCGTCTGTGGTTTGCTCCTGGGTCTACCTCCTATTGGCTGGGTGGGCTCGGTTTCCTGTTAAATGGGGACAATATCAGCACCCACCTTGGGGCACAGGGGAGGATTTAATGAGATAAAACCTGATTACCTGATAAAACAGAGACAAATGTTACTTTTCAAGTTCTCTATTTCCCCATCTTGCCAAAAAAGACTTCAAGTGCATTACGAGAAGATTCACCTGAGGCTGTACCCCACTCTCTACACTGCAAAAAATGTCAACTATGAGAAAGAAGGGAGATTGTTTTGCTGCATGTTTATGGGAGAAGAAACGGAGAATATCAAATAAGATAGATGGATTTAACATAGTAGAAAAAAGATCTTTAAACAAAATGATAAACAGGATGGAAAAAGTCATATACATATAATTAATAAACAAGCCTGTATCTAGAATATATGTGAGACAAAAGTCAATACTCAGATTTCCCTAATGAGTGACTGAAGAAAAATTATTTGCATGAGGAAATACACATGATAAGTTAGTACTGGGTATAAAATCCTGCTGATAATGAGAGAAATGAAAATTAAGGCAGACAGTACTGAGAACATGCTTTGGGTATGTCTTGTGAAACATACTGAAGTTGTCACTGATCGCAGTCACATGAAATTCACTGTCCTAAGCTGCCTAGTTCTTTCTCTTAGTACAACAAATGAATTGCAATAAAGCTTGTAATTGAACAGATCTGCCACCAGGTGTCATTTTTGTTTAACTTTAAAAGGACACTAGAGCCCCAGGGCTTTAAAATTTCTGGTAGACAGGCCCTCATGAGGGGGAAACTTCTCTACTGGACTGTACAGAGCTGGAGATTTAAGGGGGGAAAAAAAAAGGCACCTCTGAGACAGAAATGTGAACATTCTTTGAAAATTCTGTTAAAGATTTCTGAATGTGTCAAAAATAAAATGAGGAATACATGTTTTGATAAATAGAACCAATAATGAATGATTCAAGTTCAGGTTTGTATTATTGAAAAATAAAATTATGGGGGACAGAGGAAAGAAGAGAGAAATCAAAGGGAGGGAAAAGGAGAATAGAAAAACCAAAGGAAGAAAAGAAGTGGGAAGAGGGACTAGAGAAAAATTGTTCCTTAAAAAAGTTACTATATTAACAACAGCCACCAAAAATGTACATCTTGTATTAAAATTACAAAACAGTATTTCTAGCACACTGCTTACATGATCTCAGAAGGCCTTGAGAACCTATACGCTTCCCCGAAACAGTCCAATCCTGACACATGCCAGCCAGGGCCTGATGTGGGAAGCACACAGACTAGGCTTACGGAACCAAAGCCCTGGGTCCCACTGTGGCCATCACAGGCCCAGTGACCCCAGAGAGCCTCAGTTTTACATCGGTAAGTCGGGATAATGCCACCTCCCTTTAGAGGGTTTTTGTGAAACTAAAACTGAGTGAAAACACGTGTTGCCTAGAAGATGCCAGACTCCACATTTTCTACATCTGATTCTGTCCTACAGTGAAGATCTAACTAAATCTGATGCAATCCCCTAATACAAGCTTTTCCCACTCAGCTGATCTCATTCTCTTCTCCCAGAACACCTTTTTCACTCCTCTCCAGATCTTAACCAGATTTATGGACGGCTTAGGACTCACTAAATGTAGAGATGCCCTTGACTCTCAACACCTTTCCATCTGTATTACAGGTTAACCTTTCCTTGTCCTACTGAACTACACTCTTACACTGTCTGCCACTTGCTTTATCTATTCCAAGACCTGTCTATGCAGTAATAAGTTCTGGCAGCTAATCTTGAAAAAAGCCAATTCTCTCATTATAGGTATTTTTCATCCATTCTACTCTTTCAACAATTATCTACAGAGCATCTACTTTAACCATTCAAGGCACTGTATCAGGACTGAAGACATTGACATGAAAGATACAGATATCAAAGACAGAATACAGAAACAAAGACAAAGCCAGGGAGTTGGGGGTAGGAGATTGGGGGGAGGTGGAAGGGAAGGGGGAGGTGGGGCGTGACAGGAAGGGATTTCAGGCAGCTCCATAGCGTGAGTTTGCTGGAGATAAATTCTCCTCATTTGGCAGTAGCCCGCAGACTCAGTTGTCATTAGTAACAAAACTCCCATGATCCTTAGCAAGTCAGGATTTTGAGAGGTTGGCAGCCAGAAAAAGAATTCTCTGAAAAGCTAATTTCTGAGTTTAGAATAAACCTGGGCATAATCATAATAGTTTATTTCCTTTTGTTTTCAAATATCAGAGCTTTTGAAATTAGTTGGTTTAATCATGGAAGTCCAAAGCTCCCATTCATTTGTAAAGAATGACATGTTTTAGAAACAAACTTTGTCTGCTTCAAGGCCTGTTTGCCTTTTATTTGTTTAGTGAGATTAGTGCATCATCTGAGGGTTATATTTGGAATCAACATTTTAAAATTATATCCTAGTTTTTGGCTTGTTTTTTTTATGACACTCAATACAATGGGAGTTTTTTTTTGTTTTTTTAAAGATTTTTTTTATTTATTTGACAGAGATTACAAGTAGGCAGAGAGGCAGTCAGAGAGAGGAGGAAGAAGGCTCCCTGCTGAGCAAAGTCCGATGTGGGGCTCGATCCCAGGACCCTGGGATCATGACCTGAGCTGAAGGCAGAGGCTTTAACCCACTGAGCCACCCAGGCGCCCCTGTTTGTTTGTTTTTTAACGCAGGGCTTGAACTCATGACCCTGAGATCAAGACCTAAGCTGAGATCAAGAGATGCTTAACCAACTGAGCCACCCAGGCAGCTGTACAATGGGAGATTAAAAAAATAAAACAAAACAAAACAAAAAAACCCAACAGATTTAAAGTATACCTAAATAGATTTTTTTTTTTTTAAAAAGGGGAGGGGAAGGAAAAGGACCGATCTCTCTACTGAAATCTTACCCACTTTCCAATGCCACCCCTACTGCAAAATCTCCACTCATCCTTACCTCCTTTGAACTTGTGCATAAGTCTGGTCATTTTGAAAAAGGGTGGTGTCTTATTTGTTTTAGGGACACCCCTTCTCCCAGCTCATTCAGTACTCATTCATAAAAGCTTTGGGTAAAGCAAACACTCAACACATGTTTACCAAATGAGTAATGGGAGTGGGGCAGTGATGTGGAAAATTCAAGACTGCAATCACCTGGAAGCCTTTTCCAAATATTAGAATATACCATCTGATTTTTAAACAAAAATTATATTCCCTGCTGCCTGCCGGTGGGAGAGGGAGGAAATCCAAAGTTCTCTTGAGCAGTACAGGGAAGGCTGTCTAGAATTTAAAATTTCTACCGTATAACCTAACAATACCAGTGAATTATTTTTTTTACAATCAAGGCCAGCACATGTCCCCTATATAACACTCCTCTTGAAGTAACATTCAGATCAGAGAAGGGGGGGAAATACCTTTGGTGCAGATACAGACAGTCTGAGCTGCAGGGCCCTGTACAAAGCCACAGTGTTTCAGAGTTGAGAACACCTAGGATGAACCATTACCCAGGTGAATTCCAGTCTTTCAAATACTAGTAAAGGTTGGGAGGGTCAGGGTTTTTGATCTCCGGCTACCTCTGTGGGTAGCTGAGAGGAAAAAAAAATCTTGGGCCTATTATTTCTGGGAAGAAGTTAAAGATTCTGTTTTATCCTGGCTTTTCTAAGACTTTTAATAAGATGAAAGTATATTTTATTTCCTAATTCATTTGCCCTCAAACGTTGACTGTGTAAGCCAAAAGTAAGTTTCCGATGGCCCAAAGTCAAGACGGTAAAAACAGCACCACTGAGGTAGCGCCCAGGATACCAGAGCGAGGACGTGAAATCACCAGGTGTCCGGAAGTGAAACAAGGAGCAGCTGCTTTCAGGTTTAGGGACAGAAAACTTGGCTGCTTAGCTTTGGGAGGTTTCTGCATTCCCTTTGATCAACTATTTTCAGTCATTTTCAGTCTGGAGGCAGAACCAAAGGTTGGGGGAGAAAGCCAACTCACGTGAATCCTGCCGTCTTTGATGGCGGGGCCCTCCTCAGCAAGACGCAGGATGAACAGCCCCATGTTGTACTCCTTCCCCCCACGGAGGCTGAACCCGAAGCCCCGGGGGCCTCTCTCCAGCTCCACTGGGTAACAACCAAGGCTCTGGGAAAGAAAGAAGTAGAAGAAAAATAAGTTTTCGTGGGCTGTTCTATTGAGAGTTTGAAGAGACTACTTTTAGAGCTGGGAGATTATGACTTAGACACTCAATATGCATTTCTGTATCACAAGAAAGGAATGTAAGCTTTGGTTGAATAGCTACTTTACAAATGCAGCCTAAATTAAGCTGAAGATCACATGTTTTCTCCACTAGTGGGTCAACATACAAAAGAATGATCAGGGAATAGAATTTGGGGAAATGCTTCCTTTAAGGAGATCTTGACTAATTTTCCCTGGGGAGGGGATTCGAAATCCTATTTTGGCAAACTCCAACACCGCTGTTTCTAAGTACCTGACCCAGGGTGCACATTTCTCCAATTACAGGGTAAACTTGTTCACTCTTTACATCTCATGGAAGCTAATGGAATGCCAAATACCCAGCAAGTCTTTAAGAATCATTAACCTTGGGAATAATGTGTCCGAAATGATCTGTAGTAAAAAGTCACCAGTGTCAGTAATGTAGCCACTGAAAATAACAGTCCACATCTGGGCTGGGGGGTGCGGTATCCGTTTACCTGATTGGGCCGGGTGCCGACAACCGAAATCATCGCCGTGTCAGGCTGTGCAAGGTGCTTGTGGTCAGACCATGAATGTCTGTAAGAAGTGGAGACATCCTTCCCAATTTCACCTTCTAGAGCACTTCTACAAGAGAGAAATCAAGTCACTCTTTGAACGGAGAAAATGAAAACAGTCTGAAAGTAAAGGCAGACTAATTTCTTTAGTCCGAAGCTGGCCATTCTCCTGACGAACCACCGTGAAGGCAGACTGTTTCTAGAACCAGAGGTGCTGGACAATCTGGTCGTTAACTCCAGCATCGAGTCTGTCAGCACCTCCCATTGTTTTGGTTTGGTTTTTGCTTTAAGGGCATCTCGGTGTAGTTTACAGCAAGAAAAACTGCACTCAACTAACTGACCCAGAGGGAGATGAGCTGACCTTGTCAGTGAGAAAGAGCTCTCTGGCAGCTCCAGTGCCCGTGAAGATGTCGAATTTCTGGAAATCTAGTTTTTGTTACATGCTAGTATTTTCAACAAAGGAGGAAAGAAATAGGCACAAATATTGCTGTGGTCTGCTCAGGTAGTCCGAGAAGAGAGCAACGCATGTGGTTCTGCGGCTTTCCTACCAAAGTTACAAGGACCAAGAGTAGCCGAGCCAGACGCTGCTGTCACTTTTCTTTCTAATCCCCATTGTCAGGCATGACTGGATAATTGTTGTGCCCTGGGACGCAGCTGGCAGGAGGGAGGAGGTACCGAGGAAGGGGAGGGTGTAGGAAGGTAACTGAAGGTGTACCTGTGTGGGGGTGCGAGTGGGGCTGGGTGCTGAGGATTGGGGAGATGAGAGAAAAAAGACCAGCCTCACCTGTCCCCAGCCACGTGGTTGGCCTGTGACTGTCCCATGGGTCTGTGCTGTAGGGCTGGGCTTTGCCTGGCAGAGTTTGTTCCTGATGGTGGACCATGATGCTCTGTTCACGTGAGAAGACAATAAAAATATGACTTTGTACATAAAACTGTAAAGGCCAAGTGGTGTGCAAAAGTGAGATTACGCTAGCACATGGTTCCAGCCTTCCTGATTTGAGTGACTTCGGCGCGGACAGCATGGCAGTCAGCTGTCTGGAATCAGAATGTTAACATTTTTTCCCCTGTGGCTTTGATGAATGCTCATGTTTGAAGAGAACAGGAATCGTATCCTTTTGACCATCCATACCACACGAAAATCAGAAGTGTACACACTCGACAGCATTATCTAGAGGGCAAAGCGCCAGGAACTATCCTGTATCCTATTCCATGGGCTTCCAGAGCACACACGCCACAATGGGTAAACAACTCTAGATGACACAGATGGGTCTCACGAGTGCTGAAGCCAGTCTGCAAACCACACAGAGATCTGTGAACCTGCATCTTTAATATTGGAGCCATTATTTTGCCTCACACGAATACCTAAGGCAAACTCCTAGAACCATCCCAAGAGTTGACAAATGTTTGCCAAGACTTCGCTGCTTCTGTTTTCTGAGAGCACAAATGCAGGGGGAAAAAGTTACTATTTCTTTCTGTATCATCACCAGCAGCCCCAGGCCTTCTTGAGGGCAGGTTGCCCAGCTAAGCTCGGTAGAAACTGCCTGCATCGAGATGGCAAGTCACGAGAGGTACCAGTCAAGAGAGATTCTTAAGGCTGTCACACTCAAATTTGTAAAGCTGGAACTTTCGACTGTTTTATCCTGTCTATATATTAAACACAGGATATTTAAAATATCAGAGCGAGGGAGCACAGCTTAGTGAATAAGACCATGAACTCTGCCAAGACTGACAGGGGTTGATCATTTACTAGTTGTGTGGTTTGTTTTTTTTTTATTTTATTTTTTTTTTCAGTGTTCCAAAATTCATTGATTATGCACCACACCCAGTGCTCCATGTAATACGTGCTGTGTGTTCTTGAGGAAATTACTCACATTCTCTGTGCTTCTAATCATCTCATCCAGAAAAAGGGAATTATAGCCACCTTGTGGGGTTATCGTATTAAACAAGCTTTAAACAGCACCTGGCATATTATATTCATTATATAAATGTTTCTATTATCATTATCATCATCAAAATGATAAAGTCTTATCTGGGGCTATACTTCTCTTAAAGTGTACATTCTGGAATATTGACCTTAACAAAAGTTTGTTCAATGCTTTAAAATCAAGTGCTTAGGAAGGAAGAGTGGAGTGTGAACTTTTTTGGGGGGGGTGTCCCTGGAAATTTGTTGCTCTTTTAAATTACTACCATGAATTTTGTCTTCTTATTTAGCTTAACAAGCTACTTGGGCTGGCGCTCCTTGCTGGTCTCCTTACCAACCCCACTCTGCTTCCTGGATTCCAGTCCTGGCATACAAACTGAAAACCCATCCTTCCTCCGCCTTGCTGAAAATCCCATGGTAACTTTTTATTGCTCGTAAGATACCATCCAGACTCATCGCCTGGGCACTTGTGTCTTCCCACTTCGTCTCCTGTTCAAAATGTCAGCTCCTCTGTGGAATCTCACCTGGCCACTTAGGCACACTGTCTTCATAGCAGAGCTATGTGTCAGAACGCCTGTTTCTCCTGCTCGACTGTGCACTCCCTGATTGCAGGAATCACACCTCATTTACGTTTATATTCCTGTACCCACCAGAAGTTCCCAGAAGTCCTTCCACTTTTGCTCACTGGGTACATCAATTTCAAGTTACCTGCCTCTAACCTTAAGTGCCCATTACATAGCTGAATTCTGGTCTGTCGTAAATTCATGGCTACTATTAAGGGAATGGAAACTGATGGGAGAAATTACTTCTATCAACAAGATGACGACTGGGAGATACTTGCACCTTTGTAGGAGTCCAATTTAGAAGTCCAATTTTTTGGCTTCCGAGCTTGGCTGGCGCGATGGGTGTTCTAACTTTAGGACAGGAAAGAGCAGCTGATCAATTTCCACCTCTCCTCTACCTTTCCCTGAGGATGGGCGTGTCACTGCAGCATCCGGGACCACGAACTGGTTTCAGTCCCATGTTCCTTCCTTGTCCTTGAAAGGTTAAATAAAACTCCCTATCATTGGTATTTTTTTCAGTTTTAGTCCTTCAACCCATGCTACCTGGCTTCTCCAACTTACTTGTGTGTTAAGAGCTGTTCCAATTCTCAAAGTTAAATACCCCACGACGCCAAACAGGCCTATGAGCGCTCTGTTTTCTCTGAGATTTCTTCAGATAGTAAACCCATTGCTTAAGTAGATCTCCCTCTCTCAATGAGAATTAAAATTTTGCTAGAGTTTCTGTGTGCAATTATTTAAGAGAAAGTATAGTATCAGAGGAAAAACACAAAATTTCATAGTTAAACTATAGTGACAAACATTATAATGTACCATGAATCATCCTTTGCAAGAACAATGAGAATCTTATGAGGGTACTTTCTAAAACTCTACTGAAGGACACAAAAGATAATCTGAATAAGGAGAGAGACATCCCATGCTCTTAGGTGGTATGACTTAGTATTTAAAAGTATACATTCTTCCAAAATTAATATATATTCAATATATCTAAATAAAAATTGCAGTTGGATTTTTTTGCAGGAGCATTATAATTTCTTCTAAAATTTTATACAGAAAAGTTTTATGAATTTCTAGTCAAATTTGGAGTGTGTATAGGGGGTGACTGGGTAAAAACTTCCCTCAACAGACAGATATTAGCATACACCACGAAGTTAAAGATTTTTTTTAAAAGCACGTATGGACATGTATACACGCACACACACACACTTTAAAAATATATTATATATATTACCATGAAAAATGTATATGTAAATTAACCCAAGACCAGATGAGTCAATGGAAGGGAAGAGATAGGAGACTCCTGTTGAAAGGGGAGGTACAGGAGTGGTGGTGACATGGACCAATAAGGAAAAGAAGTGATCTAACAGCCTGTGCTAGAAAAACCCACTCCATATGAGAATAAAAAAATAAAGTTGGATTCCTCCCAAAACTACACATAAAAGGGAGGCTCCAGATCCATTAAAGAACTAAATGCAAAATTACAAATCAAAAAGATGATGATGTAAGAGAAAATCTCTGTGACATGGCGTGGGCAAGGGTAACTTCTCTGAAATGAAACTTCAAAAGCATAAGTCGTAAGGTAAAAACTGGCTATTGGGATCGCGTCTAAATTCAGAAGCTCTGTTCAGTGGAGGGCACCATGGTCAAAGTTAACATACAGATGACAGGAAAAGATCCTTGTACTTTCTCAGACTAAACTGTACTTTCTCAAACTAAACTCCTGCAAAATTCCTAAGGAATCTCTGAATATCAACAAGGAAAAGACCAAAATCCCGCAAGAAAAGGGAGTCAAGGATGTGAAGACGCAATCCAATAGAAGAAAAAAACCCAAAAAACAGGCATCTGATGAGATGCGCAAATTCATGGGTAATAAGAGAAATGCAAGTTAAACACCAATGAGGACACTTCCCATACTTGGGCCGGTTCGGAAGCAGGCTTACGCCCCATCCTGGTGGACGTGTACGGCTCTAGAAACGTCCGTGTTCTGCTGCTCAGAGTGTAGGTACGGCAATGACGGGCGACAGTTGGAAGCACCTGCTCAAATTAAGCACATGCCTACACTCTGATAGACCGACTTCACTCCAAGAAATTCTCACACTGTTTATAAGGTACACATATGTGGGCATGATTATCAGAAGCGCGAGTTATGAGGTGGCTGTCTGGGGGGCGGAGCGGGTGGGTAATGTGTGGTAAACACATACTATGAAAAATTGTTAAGTTGTTAAAAGCAATTGATTATATTCCTCCAGCAAAGCGGATAAACCTTAAAATTGGCGCCATGACACCAAACAAAACACAGATTACTCAGACTTCATCAACATTAAACTTCTGGGCATCAAACGGCAGCATGTGGAGAGCGGAAAGACGACCTGCCGAATGGGAGAAAATGCTTGCAGGCACAGGTCTGGTAAGGATCTAATATCAGAATATATAAAGAAGTCTTATAGTTCGACAATAAAAAAGACAATTAAAAGGGAGGAAAATACCTGAACCTACATTTCTCCACTGAAAAATCTACCGATGGCCAAAAGCACGTGAAAAGGCTCAAGGTCATTAGTCGCTGGGGAAACAAATACCAAAATCACAATGAGCTACAACGTCACATGCATGGGGGGAAAAAGCAGATGAACGAATAAATGTCCTGTGAAACCCTGGCTCAGGTCCTGGAACAGTAACGGGACGCCAAAGAAACAAACATACGGTTCTGAGAATGGGGAGAAGAAAACCAACATGAAATCTATAACCCAATCCTATGTAACTCAAAAATAAATGCTAACACACACACACAATTATGTTTTTTAAAAATAAACCGAGGCACACACAACACACTGGAATGGTTGCCAGTGGGAGCAGGGAGAGAAATGACAGCGGAAAATAGAGTCAAATGGGGACAAACAGATAAATAAACGGAAAACAAAGCCAAAAATTGGTGGCAATGCTACCAGAGCCATTCTATTGTGGCCCTGGGGAGCCTGGGTGACCTGTGTCACTCTTAGACTTGGGATGGCCAGAACCTGACACGGAAGGAGAAATCAACGTGGAAAAATAGTACATTGTGCAGATTTCTTTACAGTCGGCAAGAACAGCCAGGCGCGGTCCACTGCCGTCCTGTTCGGGAACACTGGTTGGTGCGGAAGCGGTGGCCGGTGGCGTGGCAGCTGGCAAGGCCGGAGCCTCGAGCTACCAGTCAGTGGAGAGTTTTACAGATGTGACACGTGGCTTGGGACCTTGGTTAACCCATTTCTTTGGGCAAAAAACCTTAACTATTCAATAGTATCTGGTAAAAGGGAAAAAACAGAAGGGAAGGACCACTTTTTTCTCTTTCCGGCTGTCTTATCTATGAACAGCGAGCGGCGGCTTCTGGACCGTAGGGAAGGAGTGCCCAAGGGGAAATGCTGCAGCTCTGAGCTACAGATCTGAAGGTGTGATTTCTGAAAACAGCTCTAGGGCGATGAATATTCATTTGATACTTCGGTGTAGTTGAAAGATTTTATACTGAATATAATGAGAAACTTGGAAGACTTACAAACTCCACAAATGGGATTTTTATGGACAGAAGAGACATTTTTTCCTGAGAAGAAGAGATTCTGACTGTTTCCCTAGTTTAATAACACCTGAGTATACAATAAAATAAGGTGTAACACTGAAATGTGATTTTTATGTGTCAAATGTGATTGCATTTTAACAGGCTGTGTCTACATATGAAATAGACTATTATTTTTTTTTTAAGATTTTATTTGAGAGATGCAGTGAGTGAGTGAGAGAGAGAGAGCGAGCACATGAGCAGGGGCAAAGGGAGACACAGACAGAAAGAAACAGTCTCCCTTGCTGAGCTGGGAGCCCGACATGGGGCTCGATCCCATGACCCTAGGATCATGACCTGAGCTGAAGGCAGACACTTAACTGACTGAGCCACCCAGGCACCCCTGAAATAGACTCTAAAGCTTGTACTGCTGGGGGGTTTCCTTCCACTGTTCTATTTTGCCTAAAGACAGACTGGCACTATATAGAAAATCTTGAGTACGTCCGTAAGTACTTGGACCACAGCGTCAAAGTTAATTTTTCCTTTAAGAAAAATGCCTGAGCAATCTTGGATAACCTCTCAAACACCAACAACAGTAAAGGGTAATTTTGGCCCCCAAATTTTTTTTTACTAATTCTCTTACTGAGCCCTTTATCCTGGAGCTATTGGGTGTGTGGTTCTTGGGTTGGTCAGCAGTAAGATGCCTACAGATACCAAGAAATACCAAGAGTAAGCTTTTAAAACATTTTCTAATGACTTGACAGAATGATTTTATGTCTTGCTTTTTATTTTTCATTTCATTTTTACGTATGTCACAAAAATGCTGGCTGTGGTGGACTGGAAATGTCACTGGTCCTTTTGACACATGGCTAGAGAAACACTTAGCACCAGGACTGCTGGCCCCACTACTTGAGGGAGCTTCTTTCGCAGCTACGTGCCAGGCACACTGATGTGAGTGTACTACAGACCTCATCCTCCAAACAAACCTAAAATGCGATCTCCTATGATGCTGATGCCTGCTTTTCTTAGTGGGTCACAGAACAAATTTAAGGCTAAAAAGCAAGCTCTGGAGAGCGAAGTAATCATAGTGAGGAAAGGGAGACAAAGAAACCCGCCCCAAAGTCCTTCAAGAACTTTTTTATTGAGCACTTACTATGTGCCTGACACTGTTTTAGGCCCTTGGGATTCAGCACTGAACGTGACAAGACGTCTAACTTCAGGAATCTTGTGACTCTGCATGGTGGCGAAGGGGAGAGGGCAGTAAACAAACCACAGGTTCACTCATCTCAGGCAGGGATCAGTGCAAGGAAGCAAAGTCGAGCAGGGCAGGGCGTGAGAGGACTGGGGCGGGCAGGATCATTCTGGATACTGTGGCTGGGAAAGGCACAGCAGTCAGGAGTACAGATCCTGGGGCCAGTCTGCAGAGTCCCACTCTGCTTCTGTCAGGAGCCTTGTAACTGTGGGCAAGTTCTCTAAGTGCTGGGAGGCTCAGTGTCCTCATCTACAGAATGGGAAAACAATAGTGCCTACCTAGGATTAGTGTGAGCATGAAACAATTGAACAGATGTCAAGTGTTTGTAACACCTGCCATAGTGTTAAGTGCTTACTAAATATGGCTACTCTGTCCTTAGGCGGTGAGATGTGGGCAGAAGCCCGGATGTGGGGGTCAGTCATGCAAAGATGGGGTGAAATGACCCAGCTACCATTAGATGAGCACCTCAGGGCACTTATGCAGACGAGGTACGTTTTCCACTGTAATCTTCATGGAGATCCTGAAATAGACATTATCAGCTCCACTGTACAGATAAAAACCTGCAGAGTAGAAACCTTAAGTGGCTTTTTCAGGTCATCCAACTAGCTGATAGGTGTCTGTGAACGATGTCTGTTCCAGGCCTCACTTCTTCTATTGGGCATCTAATGCCTCTGAGCTAGGTACTGGCACAGAACTGAAAGTCTCCTGACTTTTACTTTGTTCTTTTGTTCATTCATCCTATCATCCATTCGTTCATCCACTGAACTCATTTCTTCATTCAAAAAATAATTACTGATCACCTACTAAGTATCTACTAAGTATCTAAGTATCTACTAAGTATCTAAGTATCTACTAAGTAGATACATCTACTAAGTATCACAATCAACTGGTAAGATTCTCTTTGTCTTCCAAGAGCAGAGCACTTCAGCAGGGAGACCATCACACAGGAGCAATGCTCAGTGAACTGCGGGGTGGCGGAGTGCGGAGGAGCTCACAGGACAGAGCCGGGGGGTACCCATGGGCACAGAGGTCGAAGAGGCCTTGCTCTGCAGTGGATCTGGAAGGAACACTGGAAGTTCAATGTAGAAGGAAGTTGGGAAGAAACTCACAAAACACTTTCTGTGCAGAGAATGGGGAAGCACTTGGGCTTCTGCAGGGGGGATTTTAAGGAGGAAGGAGCAGCAGAGTCTGGGACAGAGTCTTGGCAAAGCATGGACCAGACGAGAAAAGGGAAATGGGCCAGGGCAGGGATGTCGCCAGGTCCGAGGGCTGGAGAGCTCACATGCAGGTGGAAATGCCCCTCCGGGCGCTGGGATGGCAGCAGAGTCACGTACTACCTTGGCTATGCATGAATGTATAGAGAAGGAGAGAGAAAGGCATGTATAGAGAATGTATAGAGAAGGGAGAGAAGGGCAGTGGGAAGAGCAAAGAATGGAAGAATCAAGAACAAAAAGACCCCAAAACTGAGGACACTAGAAGACCATGGGGCACCGTGGGCCATGAACACCCATTATAGTACACGGGGTTTGAACAGGAAAGATGGACGGACTTGCCCTAATTCCATGCTTCGGGGCTTCCCCGCTCTTAGTTTTGCAAATTCGGGAGAAATGAGAGGCGCATTATGTAATCCTTACCTTGTAATTCATAAACAAAGAGCATGAACGGGTGCTGTCCAAAATTCCTAATTAGAAACCCTTAATGACGAAAAGGCAGCTCTAAAGCAAGGCAAGACACTAAATGCATTTTATGCCCCATTTACCGGCTGCTCCTATGCACTGCCCGGCCCCCCATTTAGACAGCGCCTCGCAGAACACAGCCCCAGCGGTGAGGACAGGCACACCGGGCCCGGCCCTGACACGAAAGGCTTGATAGCAACAGTGACTATCTTTGAATCTTTAGAGGATTTCCTCTCACTCCAGCAAGCAGAAACTGAACAAATTATTTTAAGAAAATAAGATCTGAGAAGTCTGACCAATCTCTCTTCCTTCTGGGTGATTGCTTCTCCAGCCTGTAGAGAAACGGCCACCACTCGCAAGCCGGATTCCTTATCTTGAGCTACTGACAACTTCTTAATAAACTGTCACTCAAATTCATTCAGTGGAAGAGGCAAACAAGGAGACTCCAGGGTATCTAAACAGTTCTATCACAGCAGTCCTGCCAGCGGTGCTGGAAGGAGCCGCTGGCTTCCGCGGGCTCTGTCCTGTGTCACTCACACAAGCTTGTGCAAGGCAATGTGACTGGCTCCTTACCTTCCTCAGCAACGACCGTAAGTGTGACGGTGACACCAGCATCTTTGATCAGCTGAACAATGTTATCGTGGGACAGTTCCACAATGGACTGCCCGTTCACTGCAGAGATGTGATCTCCAATTTTCAGCTTTCCACAGCGATCCGCTGGGCTTCCCTCTATGACTCGGCCGATTTTGTGAGGAATAACTAGGGGAAACAAACGCCCAGGTTTTTCCATTATTTAAGATACGTTAGCGTTGGATTTATCATTATTTAAAAATTCCGCATCATAACATCAAAAAACATTCTTTAAATGTAGGGCAAGAAAGTGTCGCCTGTGGCCATCTTATCCAGCGGTGACTATCTCCGTGCGGTCCTCGGCTCTCGGCCCGCACGCGTGCACACTCCTTACACGGCAGCAACTGCAGCACGTACACCTCTGGGCTGTCTTTCACTCACCGCAAACCTCTCCCCAGTTTTCTCACTGCCCTCCTAACACTCCTGTTTGAAGGCTACCGACCTCCCTGATACGTTACTCTCTCACGAAGCGGGTGCTCCTTACTGATTGCTGGCCACGCAGGCTGCGTCCTGTTTTGGCTATTTCAGAAACTGCCACAATGAGACCACCTTTGGTTCTGCTGAGGGGGCTTTTACTCCCACAGGGGGCCTTGTAAATAAATGCAGTTCAAATTCAAAGTTAGGACTTGGAGGTTACTGCTCAGAAATCCAGGCACAGTGAAATGACTGACCGTTAAAACGAATCCAAAATTCATTCCTTTTGTGTGTGCCTTTAGATTTTTTTTTTTTAATTAGAAAAGCTGAGGGGAATCAGAACGAGACGTTTAAGGCTGAGATTATTTGGCTCGTGGATAAACTTTTGCCCTAACTGCACAAAGCAGAGTCAAAGACATTTGCAAAGACATGCCGCACAGTTCTATGGGCTCATGATCTGAAGGCTTTCCTAGACTCTGAAGACACTTGTCTGTTCCAGCTTAAAACGAGTCCTCAGACCCTCTCAGGAAATCTTGTTAAAATATCTTTCACCCCTTTAAAAGGGGGCATTTGCATTGAGAAACAAATGTTCCTTCCATGTTCCTTAAGAATTTCCTTACCCGGGTCAGTAAACTTGTCGGGCATTTGTCTCTAGCAGACTACTGACTATTACAAATATGGATAATTAATATTTAAAATGGCACTTTGAGTATGTTTAATTTCCATAGTAAAATCGGCTCCTTATATTTCTAAGTCATGGCAGGTGTATGTCAGGGACATTGAAATAGGCTTTCATTTGAACTGAAAGTTATTCTTGGCTGTGATTTATAGCCCCACAGACAGGGGCACTCCCCTGCTCTTTCAGGATTCTACAGTGAGAGATTTTATCCTAAAATAGAGGACATCAACGTTGGAAGCAAGTGCCTTTTAGCTCTGAATTGTATCAAGCACTTATACCATTTTCTTTAAAGCAAAGTAATCAGAAAAGCGTCTGGGGTAGTGGGCCATGTCCTGTGCCAGTCAGTATGAGCGATTCATGGAGAGGACAGCAGGTTAGAAGTGTGTGCTACAGGGTCCCTGGGAGGCTCAGTCGGTTAAGTGTCTGCCTTTGGCTCAGGTCATGATCCTAGGGTCCTGGGACGGAGACCCTAGGACGGATGCCTCCTTCTCCCTCCTCCTGCTGCTCATGTTCTCTCTCTCTCTCAAATAAATAAATAAAAATTTGGAAAGAAAGAAAGAAGAAACTAACTAACTTATGCTGAACCAGACAGTGGCCCTGTGGTGACCTTCTACCTCAATACCTTAGCATTTCTCCTGAGAAAAGATCTACTGGTACATGGTGTTCATTCTCGATGAGAAGGAAATCATTCAGCCCCTTGGCATGCTGAAAGGGTTTGTTCAGACTTGGGAAAGCATCAAACAAAGTGAATCTCTGAAGTCTCAGTGGTTTCCTTCTCATCACGTGAGCCATGTGCTCGCTCAGAAGGAATCGGCAAATCTTGGGACAGAACTTCCCGAAGGGTTAGTTGTCCAGGCGAAGGAAGGTAAGAGTAGTCAGATTATCATATTCTCAGTGTTGACAGCTGTATTATCGAAACAGTTAAAAACAGCAGAGAGACCAGTAGAAGGATAACTTCTGAACAGACTGGGAAGTTTTCAGAGTAACCCTGTAGAGCACACAAAGCTAAGGAAAAGTCTCAAGTCCTGTCTTGCATTTGCTGGTATACCAAGTCCACAGGCATTGGCCATAAAACCAGTTTATCCGTCTTCATCTTTGGCCTAAATCTGTCTCCCAGACTGGAATGTCCAGCTGCTGAGGTCACTGTAGTGCTCTTAAAACATTTCTTTCAGGGAAAGAAAGGACAGTAACTGGAAATGTCCCCTCTCAAAGAATCCTTTGCAACCAGAGCTGAAAAGTATATGATAAGAAAGAGAAACACTAAAACCTCTGAAGCACCAGCAAAGCAAAAACTAGCTAAGTCCTTTTCATCCTAAACACACAGAGGTCTTTTCTGGGTACTCTGTTCACTGAGCACTGACACAAGCTGGGGCTAGGGCAGTAAGGGTGCTGGACCCGGATCCCTGATCTTTGAAAAAGTCGACCGCAGAGAATCTCAGAATTTCTTTTCTTCTTAAGATTTTATTTATTTATTTGTCAGAGAGAGAGAGCACAAGCAGGGCAAGGTGGCAGAGGGAGAAGCAGACACCCTGTTGAGCCAGGAGCTCGAAGTGGGGCTCGATCCCAGGACCCTGAGATCATGACCTGAGCCGAAGACAGACACCTAACTGACTGAGCCGCCCAGGTGCCCCAAGAATCTCAGGATTTCATGACTGGTGTCAGACATGCGGCCAGGAACTCTGCTTGGGACAGATGTCACCAGAAAATACATTTAATCAGAAGGAAGAAATAATCCGTCCCGAGCAGAGTGCCAATCTACACCAAGACAAGGTCCATAAAGAATGAGCTATTCTGGGGCACCTGAGTGGCTCAGTGGGTTAAAGCCTCTGCCTTAGGCTCTGGTCGTGGTCTCAGGGTCCTGGGATCGAGTCCCGCATCGGGCTCTCTGCTCAGCGGGGAGCCTGCTTCCTCCTCTCCCTCTGCCTGCCTCTCTGCCTACTTGTGATCTCTGTCAAATAAATAAATAAAATCTTAAAAAAAAAAAAAAAAAAGAATGAGCTATTCTAGTATCTTTCCTGCCTTTTCACCCGTGCTAACTCTGGTCTGTCCGCACCTTCTCTGTAAGGCGGTCCGCAGCTACTGCTCAGTCTCTGTGAGTGAAAGCTCCTCACCCAAGCCCTCCACCCCCGCCCCAGCACCCTCCTTCTATCTACATGACATGCATGAGAATCCCAAGAAGAAGGCTTGCAGGGCTCAGCATTCTATGAGATGATCAACTAGCATTTCAGTGAAATTACCAGTTCTGGGGTTGCGCCAATGACTGAAAAGCTCAAGGACTTTATACAAAATTCATGGGTACCCGAAGCCCAATTTACCATTCAGGTTGATAATTAATGAGCTGCAAACACTCATTTCCTGCTACACATGAGCTGCTGCTTCGATCTTACATTTTAATTGGGCTTTCTTTCCCATCTCGTTACTCAAGTATTGATAAACTTTTTAAAGTTTCTTAAAGAAAAAAAAAAAAAAAAGGCAAGAGACAAACAATTTTATAAATAACACAATGGCCAGAGCAGCAGAAGCTCCAACAGTCACCAGCAGCTTTTAGTAAAGGTCCGGGCTAAGGGCTCACATGCGTTATCTCCTTTAATCCTCAGACTCCTCTGAGACAGGAAGTGTTAGCATCATCCTCATCTCCAAGAGGAAATTGGAGCTCTTGGAGGGTAAATAATTTGCCCGAGATCAGACAGCTATTGAAAGACACAAGCGGGACTTGAAGCCGAGTTTGTCCGATTACAGAGCCCAAGAGCTGATGACACTATCTTACACAGACCAGATCTGTGGTCCGCAAAACCATCAAAACAGTAAGAAACAATTAAGACGAATAAATATAAAAATATTAAAAAAATTTAAATATAGACAAGCATACACCAATAAAAACAATACACTTAGTATATATTAAAATGCAACATATATTTTAAATATCAACAAAAACTATAAAAAGGTTAAGCCTATATAAATAAGGCAACTTATTCTACTGAATTTCTCTATATTGCTTTGTTTTATGGTGGACCCTAGGCTCTCCCCTAATTTCGGCAGTCCTAGAAAAGGAGTATCTTCGGTATAGAAAGCAGTTAGCATCTCTCACAGTGAGTAATAATCTTGCACTGTTTTTGTTAATCTGAATGCGTGGGATTATTGTATGGCATTAGAATAAGAATATGGTTAACTAAAATGGTTATTTGGTTTGGGAAATCCTGATTTCCAACGCTTTAACACAAAGCCCACCAAAAATCTGCTTTCTTTCATTTTTCCAACACAGGCCACATAATCATCCTCAGAGCCTCAGTGACAGTTCCAGTTCCAAGGGTTACCATAGCAACTGCTTTTGGAAAATGGAAACTAGTATCAGTGAGCAGTGACCTGATACTATAGTAATAACTCATCCATGTCATAGGGTCTTCTTCCTTTACACACTTGCATTAATTTTAGCAAGATTTTTGCAAATTGGTGTGGCTTCCAACACTCCTGAAAAGGGGTTTCTTCTTTTTCTAAGATTTTTGTGACCATCTAGTCTAAAAGGATCTCACTACTCAGGATATAATCAAATCCACTGGCAAAGGCAAGCACATGTTTTCCTGTGGTCCTTTGACTTGGAAAAATAAAGTCACCAGACAAGTATGATAGATCAATCTCAATTTTCTGGTTCTCATCTTACATTCACTTGGATCTTATAATTATATTTAAAGATGATTATTTCTTAGAAACATAAAGGCAAAACAAATACTTGATTTGCCGGATCGTAACAGCCCTGAACATACTAGAGGTAATTCCTCCTTTGTTGAAGGAATTAATGTATACATTTGTCCTTCCCAGATGACAATATTCTGTTAAACTGGGTTCAGGATATTTGGATTAATACTTAAAGTTCTGACAAAATTTTTACCTTTCAATGATGCATCTATAAAAGATAAGAATGCCTCTTGTCATTCAAGAAGGTTCCTTTTTAGCTGGAATGTGGCAATTATGATTAAACAACACAATAGGACTACTTAAGACATATTTGGGTTAAGATTTTTCTGTTAATCTATTTTGCTTCTTCTCAACTGCTTTTAGCATTTGATTCATTTCTGCATTCAGTTTCTTCTAATTAAAACAAAACAAATAATCTATGCCTCCTTATTTGAAAAAACTCAGCATTGTCCTTTTGCTGAATCTCAGAGGGAGTGCACCTCACATCCCTTCCCTCTGGATGCAAACAGAGCAGAGCTGCTAAGACTGATTTTATGAAACCTGAGATGAGAGAGAAACCTGAGGCCTGGAAGTTCAAGTTCAGACCACCTGGTTTGGAAATAAAGAAAATATTCATCGCTCTTAAAAAGATAAGTCTCTAAGGCAATGTATACATAATTCCTAATTAAGTTTCACTAAGCCCCCTGGGAGAGTCAGAAAACTCAAACTGCAGGGACAGAAAGCTACAGCAGTCCTTACCTCCCGGAGGGGGTTTGTTTTTGGAGGTGAGGATGACAAAGCCAAATCCTTCATTTTCCTTCCGTTGCAGGACTACATCATAGGCCTCCTGTGGAGCAGGCCTGGCTGGGACCTCTGCTCTGTTCGGGCGGGGTGAGCCATTCTGTGTCGACAGGAATGCTGGAGAGCTGTCCTCCTCAGGTTGTTTCTCTGTAATAAACACGACCAATTCTGATATTTCCAGTACATCGTAATTTTTGTTGACTGAAGTGTTTCTGTGCTAAGCCTCTCCCAGGACAAAGGAGATTTGAATAGCACAGAGCACAGAAAAGCAACCCCCCTACGTGAGCTCTGGACGTCATGGGAGTGCGGCTGTAGGGGGCAGCACTGGGGCTGACATCTTTAGTACTCGCCCACCTATAACCTGAAGAATGTTACGGTATCTCATTTTAAAGGAAGCTTTCTTGAAGCTTCCGTGAAAGCTCATGGTAAATCCATTCTTCTTGAAATTGTCCTAATTCCAGCAGGATTCTGATCAGTAATTTTAACAAAAGTTGGTCATGAAAACTGACACGGTATGACTTCCTTTTAAAATCAACATTAAATATAACTCAGTGCGGGACTAACGTTGGTGATGCCAGGGAGGTCACTGCATGGGGCAGAGGTGCTGCCCCTCACTGGTAGAGAGGTTAGCCGTCAACACAGGAGTCGTCCTACAGAGTGTGTGTTACAGGTGCAGCCTTCCTGATCGATGATACCAGATGTGCTAACCGCCAGTGGCCCGCCGCCTGCCACGCCCGGCAAATGACAAACTGTCCACGTGGCAGCCAACTCTCCCAGGAGCAGAACCGGTCCTAGGGATCCCCAGCAAGCAGAGACGTAAACTTACATATTTTTTCCCATTCAAGTATGACATCAGAATTCAAGAAAGAATAACACAAGTTAGTCCTAACTGATTTAGAACAACAGGCAAATTTTGTGTCATAATTTGACATAACTTGAGCCATCATTAACAACAGCCAGAACGCACCGCCACTGAGGAATATCCATTTATAAGTGCTCTTTTGACTCAAAATCTACATGATTCTGAGATTATGTCTTAGAATTTCAACAAAGTGCCGCCAACATCCAATCATTAATGAAAAATAAAGGTTGGTTTTTTTGTTTTTTTGTATAATGTGTGGTCATAATAAATTAGCTAAATGCCTCCAGGAGTATCAAACTCTTATGAAACATCTTCATGATGCTCTCCGGGAGAGAGCCAGTCTCTAGTTGTACAACAGCACATTTTTTTACCGCATGTGGTTATGTTCTGACTCCAACACAACCAACACAGCATTAAAATCTGTGTGTCTCTCTAAATGTCTGGTCCATAGAAAAACAGGCAGGCCTTTCCTTTGGATGTTGCAATCAAAAACACAGAGCCTCATTTTTAAAAGTAATGCAAATATTCATCAAGTCCACAAACCTTCGGTGATGTCCGCTCTGTGCCAGGCAGACACTGTTTTATGTGTGGGGGATACAGCAGTTAGCCAAGTGCATCACTGTCCCTACCTCGATGAGGCTCACATTCTTGTGCTACAGGGTTGTCTTTTTAAGATCTTCAAGTGGCAAGAACTCACTTCTAAAATTCTGATGTAACATTCACAAAGCTATTGATGAGGAAAATGTTTTTCCACCCTCATGTAATGGTTTAGACCTTGGGCTCTATAATTCAACTCCCCGTTCTAATCCTGGCCCTACTACTCACCAGTAACGTGTCTCTCAACCGTTCTGTGGGTAACTGTAAAACACCAGTATTTATATCCTGGTGTTGTAAAGACTAAATAAAAGAATCCGTACGTCTGAGACAGAGTAAGCACTCGATAAACATTTTCTTCTTACTGTTAAATGACATCATATTAAAAGTACTCAAACAGAAACATTCAGCCCTCTTTGAATATTAAGCAATTCCTCAGGATCCAAAATCTTTTGCTATTCAGCTCAAGGGATCTCTTGATATGACTAAAAAACTGTACTTCTTTTTAAGAAAACAGACTTAACCCGATAGTCCCATCTATAACACCACATTGGCAAAATATGTCAATATGGTCTTAATATAGAGGCCCCAAATTTCTTTCTCTCTTCCGATAGTAGTATTATTTCTGGATCCTTCTGACATTCCATGACCTCCCATGACGAGGAAGGCCCTGGCTCATCTTGTACACCAGGAAACACACTAAAGAAACTGCAAAACTGCACAGAGAGCAGACTAAGTCTCTTTGTTTCTTGATTAGCCTATGAAGCAGGGATGGGCTCACATACCACAGAAGACCTTTCTTCTGACTGTTAGCAGCACGTGGCCATTTCGAGCAGCCGTGGTCATGAGGTCCAAGACTTGTTTGTGAGACTTCCCTTTCACGGGAATCCCATCAATGCACATCAGCTCGTCAGCTGCACGCAGCCGGCCGTCTTTCTCCGCGGCACCCAGAGGAATGATGGCCCCGATGTAGATCTGGTAAGATACCGAAGCGTAGGTTGGTCTCTACAGTGGACTAGGCTCCCCTACAACCCTTAACTATTGAGCTAAAGGCTTCCTAACTCAGTACTACGCAAACCAACACTGTTTTTGCAGTTCAACCATGAACATTTTGAGAAAGGCGGTATCTTGGAAAGTGACCATTCTCCAAAAGGGCATTTCACATAACCCCACTCCGTGATCCCTCCTGGATCTTCAGGGATGCGTACACGCAAGATGGAAAATGCAAAGCCGTTCAATGACTTAAAAAGTGCCACTATCACTTCTACCAATATGACAAAAGACATTAAATTCAGAAAATGCAATTCTGTGGAGTAGCTACTAAAAAGTACAAAAAGTGTACTGAATGCCATCAGCAAGGGTTTTCTACGCACTGTTCACAGCAACTGGGATAATTCTTAAGAAAATCCCATTACATATGGTTACTAGTGGAAATTCAGTATATAAACCCAGAAACATTTCTTGTTCCTAAATTGCAAAGCAGCAGAAATCTCAGGGGAACAGAATGGCCTGAGGTCCACTCACATCGAGGTAAACGGATCTGGCTCATCTTGTTTGCTGGCAATTAGACTCCTGTAATTAGGGAATCCTGAATGTTTGGGCTAGATTCAGAGCTGCTAAAACCTGACATTTAAGAGAAGGGTTTCTCCCAAGTTGTTTGATATAAACTCTGAAAATGTTTTAGTCATCATTATACGGATCAACAAAATAGGAAGCATTAAAACAGAATCACGTCCTCCACCAAGAACAATCAAGCTACTGTATAACCTGCCTGGAGCTTTATTTGTCTCCGATCATTGTTTTAACTATAGCCAATATGGCTAATTAGAACACATGTATAATACATAAATCAACTCTTCTATCCAGAAATAGAAAGAAGCCTGTCATTTTAAAAGGTTACTGTTACCTAACTTCCAAGCACGATAATAATGTCTTTCTTATATTACACAGAAAAAACTTAAATATGTTCTCCAACTCTACAAAGCACATTACTTCTCTGTCATTCAAACTGAGGGCAAGACTTAAAAATAGAACCTATTACATTTGTCCTCTAAACTTTATGTGAGAATCTTGTATAAAGTTCTAGATTTTTAAATGCTTTACAAACATAACCCTTATGCTTTCTGGACAGAAACATCAATTATTTTATATTTTTCTAGCTTCACAGGTATGGCAGATGAAATGGCAGGCAAAGTACTGAGCATGAAAATGTCAACCCATTAATAAGAGTAAGTGACAGAATACGCCCGGGCTCATGCCACCTGTTTACAGAGCATTCAGTCAAAGGACAGACTGATGGTGGCAAAGAGGATGCTTCTTTCTTAGAGAAGGCAAGGGTCTTAAAATTTAACAAATGCAAAGGGAAATAGAAATTGAAAATAAGCTGTAGGTACATAGAGAAGGACAGAAATTGATTACTGCCCCACTGACAGCGGACATATTCAGTTCTTGCCTTCAGTTCTAGCCTCCGCCATACCAAAGTAACTGGAAGACCCCTACACTAACAGATATGCAGTTCTTCCTCTCATTCAGGAGATGCTTACAGGAAACAAAATCATAAAAAAAAAAAGAAAAAGAGAGAGAACAAAAGTACCATATTCTACTGAACAGCTACCTAAAATTTCATAGGAATAGCCAAATTCTGAAGTATGTGAACTTACAGACTGGTCGGGTCCCTCTCCTCCCAGAACCCGGAAGCCAAATCCTGACTCCTGTTTCCGAAGAAAAACATCCAAGTCCTTGGTGTTTGGTGCTAAGGAAAATCAGAAAAATAGAAAAATAAATACAAAAAACAAAATACTTTGATTTACTTAAAAAGGATTAAAATAAAACAGTGCAATTATTTAGTAGGATCATAGTATCGAGTTCAATGAACTGTAACTTCAGAACTCTCTGGTAGGTGAAAACTTACACAAGAACATACCACTACATACTAGTACCAAAAAAAAAAAAAAAAATCAATCCTAAGTCTTTATTTTCAGCTCTAAACAAAACTTTGTATGGCAAGTGCTCAAGAACATTTACCCCCACTTCCATTATGCTGCCATTAAATCCTAATGGTTTCAAATCCGTGTTGTGATATTAAGTGCAGAATCATCCAATTTAAGTTTGACGTTTGATAGGTACAAATTACCTAAATTAACATTTGGACAAATACTAGGAAAAGAGAGTCTGTACAATGCCTTAATTCTACTACTAAACTAATATCTTTGCTTCTGAAAAGCATTCCATATTTGCTTAGCCTAATTTTGTAAATGGTTATAATTTTAAAAGGAAATGATGATCACTAACACCTATCATTAGCCCCATTTTCTAGCTGTGGAAGCTGAGGCCTCGCTAAGTGGCCCAGTGTCAGGCAGCAAGTAAACGCAAGAGCTAAGATTTCAAGCCAGCTTGATTTCTAGAGTCCAGGCTCTTCACCCACCCTATCCTGCACCCCAAGGGCAGGTTGCTTTCATCAGAATATTAAGTCTGGAAAAACCTACTTCATAAATAAAATAATTTGATCTTCAAGAAAATATTAATGTTATTCATAAGCAAGAAGTGTTTGCTAGAAACGTGGGGAGCTATATACAAATTAAGATATTGGACAGGGTAAATCTTGATAATGTTCCTGAGAAGCAGTCTCTTTTAAGAAATGAGTCCTATCAGAATCACAGAACTTTAGGGATAAAAGACTCTGGAGCCCAACTCAGTTACTTTACAGATGGGGCCCAAAGGAACTGAGTAGTTTCCACCAATACTAAGAATATACCAGCCTATCAATGGCAAGTCAGAAGAAAGGGATTCTCCATAGTTCTATTAATTTAAATTATTGCTTTGCTGTGTTTGCCTCTGGTTTCCATCTTTCTGAATATGGCCTGGGCCTATCAAGATACAGATCGGGAATTGGTTAAATATGAAGTCGATTATACATAATATTTCCACCTGTGTACACAGTTTCCAAGGCAGATTTAGATTTCTCAGAAACAAATTAATTTGGAAAAAATTAAGCCTACATAATCTGTAATTTTACTTTGGAAAACATTCTTCATTTTAAACAAATGAGCACAAAACTGAATTTCTGCCTTCTGCATGCTCCCTGCTCATCACCTCTCAGCTGAGCTCCTCTGAGCTAAGTCTACGCTGGTCTCCTCCTCAGGCTACACACTCTCTGATTCACCACCCCTCACACCCCTGACAGGAAAATCTCAGAAATACAAGTCCAAGACGATCACCCCTATCTACAGTGGAACCACTGCGCGGCTCTCTATCCTTTTTATGATGGACTCCAGCTTCCTCAGAGCGGCCTCCCCTGTCCTCCCCTGCCCTCCCTCCCCAGCCTGCTGGCCCCTGCTCTCCCCCCTTTGGTTTCTGGTGCCAACTGGACCCAGCCGAACTGGGCTACTTGCAGAACCCAGGCCGCGCGAGGTCAACGTGCAAAGGTTACTCCTGCTTTCTTTCCCTTTCTCTCTGTCTCATAAATACCTCTTCGTCTTCAAAGACGTGGTTCTGGCTTAACTTGCCACGTGAAGCAGTACCTGATGCTTCCTGCCACCCCCACTGGTAAACTGATCATCTCCTCCTTTGGGTCCCAGTGAGACTCATCTGGACTCATTTAGACAGACTTCTCTGATTACATATTTGTCTTTTCCAATCAGGGCTAATCATCTGTTTGGGCGCAGGGCCTGCAGAACCTATTTATCTCTCTACTCCCATCACCTACGACAGTGTTAGGTAGACAGTAGGCACTTTATCTCTGGTTTTGGAAAAAAAAAAAAATGGATGAATGCATGTTGAATATAAATAGAAGAAGCCCAGAGTCATATGAAAATGGGGATGAAGGAATAACTTTATAATACGGTTTTGAAAGATGGGAAGGTCCCAGTTTTTTAGAAAACTCAAATTGATTTTGTCGCATGCTTTCCTGAAATAGCCCACAACTACTTACGTTTATCTTCATATAAAGTCTTAGATTTCAGGTAGACCTCAGAAGGATCCAATTTCGGGGATCCTGACCTGATAATGCTGGGTGGAAAAGGCATAGGCTGGGGAAGGGGCTCATTTACGGCCTCCAAACTTCCTGAATTTTCCTTTTTATCTGTTTTCTGAAATGGAAAAGGGCCTTACTTAGTATTTTAGAAAACCAGATGGCTGATTAGTTCATAAGACTATTGTGTGAACCGGGTGTGTCACGGGTTGACAGGTGGGCGGGGATGGGGCGGGTGCAGGGTCAAAGCTGCGGTGTATTTGCAGCCTTGTAGGAATTTACCTTCACAGCCGTGTACACTTTGTTAAAACATATTTAACTTAAATTAGAAAAGATTTATACTGCTGTCAACTGAAGGGTCTGAATTAGTCCTAAGTTTACACAATTTTGCCCTTTTCTCCAGCTCCAAGACACGAATGGAGTTTGGGAAGAAGGTGGGCAGGGACATAACCCAGGGCAGCAGCATGTGGCAAGAGGGGAGCCCCCCCCCCCCCCGAGCGAACAGCCCCGTGAAGCTCTAGATCCGCCCCACCTCCCCACTCACTCTATTTAATTCCCAGGGCAGATGTTTGAGATGCCGCTCTCTCTCAGAAAATGGGGTCAGAAGTGTTACCTCTAATGTGGGCTATGAAGAGGACACTATGAAAACCCCACATGGCCAGTTCAAACACAGGAAGGAAAAATGCACCATGCGGGACATTCTGGTAAGGGCAAATGGGAGCTAATTATGTTCGTACTTTTCCCATTCTTTCCCGAAATAATAGCCAGGCAAAATGACTTAATAAAATTTGGGTTGGGGGGTGATATCCAATAGACAGCCTGAGAAAATAAATATGGTTTTGAGAACAGCCTGTTCTGCATTCTTGCGGAGGGAGGCAGATTACGGATGTCTGTGGTAAAATTACAAACGCGGACTAGGATGCAGGAGCAGTGGCAGCTTATCAGGGAGCGGGATGAGGACGGCCACTACAAAGTGCTCTCCCAGTGTCACTGACCCAGACCCCCGTCGGGTGGCAGGAGGACGAGAGCAGTCGCCTCCCCTCTCCCCGGCATGTCCTAGGGATCTGTCAGAGCAGCGCCAGGCCAGCAGTCATAAAGCATTAGGGTTACCTAGTGGTGCTGGCAGCCACTATGAAGTAGAATGGTAGCGCAGGAGTTCAAAACAATGACCAGAGAAACACAGGGAAACATAGTGCCATTTTAACGACACAGGCTAAAAAAAGCACTTCTGTTTGCACTGGTTGTTAAGTGGTACCATCTACAGAAGTACAGAATGTGGCTTTCCTTTTGAGCCATAAGACAGCAAATTTGTAGAGGATCTTATTGGGTGAACTAGAAAGAATTCACCCATTTTCTATCGGACAGTGTTTCCTTTAATAGCCTATGGTGGATGGTTAAGGAAGCCCATCTTTCCATTGCTGGATGACAGGCGCCCAATCGAGCAAACTAGATCTAAATTAGGACTTTATACATGATCATCTTCATAGCCACACCCACGTAATGTGGGTATTTCGGCAGCTACACATCTGCCCCAGCACACTTTCTTTCCTGGCACTGTTTGCTGTACCCTTTTTTAGGTCTTCTTTGCTATACGGGTCCCTAAATAGGCTACTCAGTTCTTCAGAAGAATGATAAAGAAAACACTGTTTCAAGTCTCACAGCCTATCACTTTGATGGCAAGCAAGCTGAGTACAGAGGCCACAGTTACTCTGGAAAGTCTTGCTCAGTCCACTGTGAGAACGTAATCTCATGGCGGGTGTTTACTGTCCCCAGGAAATGACGTGAAGCTCTCACTGCTCTTTGGGCATCAGGAGAAGATGTCCCAGGTTTCATTCTCTGCCCTCACCCGTAGCCACTTCCTCCCCCTTGCTCCTCTCAAACACCAAGAGAGCAGAAGGACTCTATGTGGGCACGTTGAGGTCTTCCGGCTTCACCATTTAGAGGGCAGGGCTACTGGCAGTACAGGCCATTAGCATTCGGGAGACACACGTAACCAGGCAAGCCCACCTCCTCTCTAACTCACTGGCTACCCCAGAGTGTCTGACACAAGCCCAGGGCAGGACGCCTCCTCACTTCTCCCAGGGGTAATCACCAGCACCAAGCGCTGTTCTCAAGGAGGGGGCTCCGCATCTCTCTCGCTGTGTTGGGAAGAAGCATGTGAGGACCACTGTATACTCACCATTTTGGCAGTTTTGGTTGGTGAAGGAGGACCTTAAAAAAAAATGAGCCAAATTTTAAAAACAGAGGAAGCATTTCCAGATCACAAATACTGCTCACGCTTATGATAAAACTAGCTTCGACTTTTAGTAGGCTAGTAAACCTATGGCCAGCACCTGCTGTACGCCAGGCGTTGTACGGATATGATTTCACATCATTTCCGTGCCAATCCCAAGGTGTAAGTGTTACTACCACTGTATACATCAGGTCAACAAAGACTCAAGGAGATTACATTACTTCCTCATACCACAGAACACGTAGCAAGGCAGGAAACTGACATTAGGCCTGCCTGACACCAAACCCTGGTCTCTGTTATATGTGCTGGAAATGTGGCTAACTCTCCAGCCCTCCCACAGAGATCCTCCCCTTACTCTGAGCACATTCTACTGCCTCACCCAGAGAAGAAACAAAAATAGTTCCAAGAAATGAGGAAATTCAAAAACATCCTAGTGAAGTTAAACTACCCATTTGCCTCAAAAATGAAAACTAAAAGCCAGAGAGAGAAGTGGGAATGGCTGAATTTTATTCTTAAAAATACTAATCATTCATAGGTAGGGATTTAAGAAGGCCCATCAAAATGCAACTTGATGGTTAGTCCTTGGACCTGGATTTATGCCTGCGAGCAGTGCAAGTCAGCTGATGACCTTGGAAAACAAAAACTGTATTTCTCTCACACGAGGACTGCGGGGTTTGATTAACATTTACAGACAGATACTAAAGCTTCACAGAAAAGCTTCGCGAGCATGAGTGCTCATGATTGCTTTACAAAACAGATTTTTTCGTTCTGTACAATATTTTGTTGTACATTTTTGCTTATTCACAGAGACACTAGCTCTTTCCAAACATCCTCGGTACATCACAGAGGCCCAGATGAAGAACCACCGGTGGAAAGCGTCAATTTCTACTACTGCCATCGACAGAGAAAATGAAATTGATATATTTCATCTGAAGTAGCACAATGCTGTGACTCTTTCTAATCACTAAAACCATAAATCAGATTTTAAAAAGAATATACAGGGAAGAAAACCATAACGGACACTAATGAAACCACTAATAACTAAAAAAAAACCTGCTGGCAAAGATACTGCTTACGGAAGCAGTCAGACGGAACCTTAAGGAAAAGGCACACTAATTAGCAGTTAAGTCTGCTGGGAGAAGAGAGATTCTGCCATGGAAGGAAGGACGATTAACAGATATAAATGCACAAACAGTGAAGATTTTTCCTTGTGCTTTTTACTCACCTCCTCTTAGGATGAGCAACGGTACATCTGCACCTACTGGAAACTGCTTCAGCACCTCTACCACTTGGAGATGTGTTAAATTCTGCACATTTTGATGGTAAATTTCCTTAATTATATCCCCTTTCTGGAGGCCTTGACACCACTGACTATCCAGTATCATTTTGACCTTCTGTCCTGTTGGGCTGTCAGCAATTGCAAACCCAAAGCCTTTGGGGCCCTTAATCAGAGGGACAGTCACTAGTTCGGGCTGGGAGCCGCCCGATGATGCCAGGGATGCTCGCTGCTCGCTCAGATCCGATGGTCCATTGAGACGGTCACTGATCAAGGTGGGTCCTGGTTTTCCATTCTGGTCTAGGACCACTGCTCCTGACTTAAAATCCTGAGTATTCATGCAAGTCTCTCCCTTGGTTAATGACTGTCCATTGATGACAGGAGTAGCAGCAACAATGTCCACGACAGGATCTTCATTGTCATCAGGAAGTGGATAACCACGGCACAGAGTGAGGTTGACATACTGATTGACAGGTACCAACTGAAACATCTGGACAACATCGGCATGGGTGTGACCAAGGACACAGTTGCTATTGATGTCTACAATAACATCACCTGTTAAGACACGTGTTAAAAATATTAAAACCACCAGGAAGTTAATGTTTTGTTGGGGTAGGGCGGGACAAAAATAAACTCATCATCTAAATTTGAATTCTGGAAACCTCTTACTATTCATTAACTGCTGAAAAGATAGATTTTGAACACAGACACATCATTCTCTCTTCTGTGGTTCTTATCTAAAAAAAATATATAAATGTATGAAACCTTAATTATCTTTGCGGCAAAGAGTTATCACCTCAAGCTCAAGGGAATCATTTGAAAAATAACTGAATTCATACGGTCATTGTTAGTATATCCTCTGAGTCATACCTAAGCGGCCACAAAAAGCAAGGCTCATGGCAGTAGGTATTCAGTCTACAGACGAGGAGCAAATAACTCCATCAGCTACTTGTACAAACAGGTGATCTTTCAATACCACCTTCTGGTTCTTGATTTTAAGAGGCCAGTAATTACAGAGGCCAATTAATTACCTAAAATTAAAAATTCATTCTAGTTTGAAAAATGTAGGGCTGAAGATTACAATAATGTATGTTATGAATGTATGTCCCTTTGGCATCTTTCTCAGTCTTAATTGTACAGATTTTCAATTTATCCTAATTTCAGATTTTGAAAGGAGAAACAAGTGACAAGTGAATCCAACACAAGTAAAGAACGTATTATTTAAGACACGGAAAAGTCAGCTAAACACGTTCTTGTAGAAATTGTTTTTGCTTTTCTTTTTTTCTTTTTTTTTTTAAATTTTTTAAGATTTTATTTATTTATTTGACAGAGATCACAAGTAGGCAGAGAGGCAGGCAGAGAGAGAGGAGGAAGCAGGCTCCCTGCCGAGCAGAGAGCCCGATGTGGGGCTCGATCCCAGGACTCTGAGATCATGACCCGAGCTGAAGGCAGAGGCCCCAACCAACTGAGCCACCCAGGCGCCCCTATTTTTGCTTTTCTGATTTTACATTATTACAACCACTTTGTGGCACAGTCATTACTGTATGACATTCATCAGTGGTGAATTTTTTTTTAATGCAGCCTTAACTTTAAAAATCTGCCCTCTAATGTCTCATCCATTTGCTGCTTTTATTTGAATATGATTATTTAAAAGGTTATTGCCAAATACAGGTGCTTTAATTTGTTCTGATTGCATGTAGGCTCAAAAAAAAATCAACACAAATGGTATTTAAAACAATGTTAAAGTGTGCAGAAATGTGTTTCATAATGTAAGACGACACAGTGATCAGACTAATAAGAAACAAAGTTTGGACTTTCCCTTCCCTGGCAAAAGTTTCCAAAATTTCCATGGAAGTACTGTATTGCTACACAAATTAGACATCAGTTTTAGACAAATCTGCATCTCTATTATGAAACCCTGAGAACACATCCAAATGCTACCAAATGTGTTTTGTGGACAAAATGTTAAAAGAAAAAAAAAAAGGGCAAAACTGAGAGCTTAAAAATTTTTACTAGTAATTTTACTCTCTAGTTTGTTAATCTCATAAAGTCATAAGAGCACAAATCATTTTTCTTGTAACTTCTGATTATTTTAACTTTTCTTGTTTTCGGTCTTAAGTCTCTTGCTTTTAGCTTCTTAAGTCTTAAATGGGAAAGCATAATATGAGAGATACCATATCTTAAATGAAAATAAGTTGATATGTGCCATCAAAAATACTATGGCAACTGAATTGTCCAAATGGGGGGACACATTTGCTTTAGCAAACAGTCTAAGAAGGGACCTTAGGGGGGCCTGGGTGGCTTAGTGGGTTAAAGCCTCTGCCTTCGGCTCAGGTCATGATCCCAGGGTCCTGGGATCGAGCCCCACATCGGGCTCTCTGCTCAGCGGGGAGCCTGTTTCTTCCTCTCTCTCTCTCCCTGCCTCCCTCTCTGCCTACTTGCGATCTCTGTCTGTCAAATAAAAAAAATAATAATAATAAAAAAAAGAAGGGACCTTGGCGGCATAGTAACATCCTTCTGGGAAAGAGTGCTTAAGCCTCCCTCATAACTGTAACCATTCTTGAACTTCCTCTTACCCCCTCAGCCATAAAAACTGTCAGCCATATAAAAATATCTAATAATTAGCAAGTAAAGACTTTGGGAAAACTATAGAAAAGACAAATTTATATGGCTCTGTACAAACAGTGACTTCATGTTGACAACTCTTAACATCAGAGTTTAATTTTACTAACAACCAGTAAGACTAAGGAAGCAAAAACCAAACCAAATCAAACAAAACAAAACTGGGGAAAAAATCATAGGACATCATTTGTTTCCTATCACTATAAACATCACAGTGGGTCATTTTCCAGGAAAGATTATAGGTACATGTTAGATAGCTCCCAAAGTACTCTATATCATCGAAGAAAAACAACCAAACAGTTCTCTGAGATGCTTAATCAGACTTTATCTTAGCACACTGGAGGAGTTATCTCAAGATGATACAAATTACTCAAAAAAATCAATACACTTAGGGGCGCCTGGGTGGCTCAGTGGGTTAAGCCTCTGCCTTTGGCTCAGGTCATGATCTCAGAGTCCTGGGATCGAGCCTCGCATTGGGCTCCCTGCTCAGCAGGGAGCCTGCTTCCCCCCCCCATCTCTCTGCCTGCCTCTCTGCCTACTTGTGATCTCTGTCAAATAAATGGATAAAATCTTTAAAAAAAAAATTAAAAAGAAAAATCAATACACTTACTATGCTTTCTCTAGATGTACACTTGCTTTATAAAAAATGGCCCTCCCTCAAAACGAGTATGCACTGAATTTAGAGGATAAACTAGTTTATCCTCTAAAATAGGGAGGACTCTCCCTCCCCAGCTGTATAATCTAGTTCTCTATGTATATAAATGGTATGTATAATATATGCATATATAGTTATTATATATGTAAATACATATTTACTATATGTCAGTTTTATAAGTATATATGTAAATGAAACCTTTTCACCGTAGTTCTTATTACACTACCACTGCTCTTCAAACCATCCTGAGAAATTACTTACCTGGTGCAATTTTCCCATCCTGAGCTGCAGGACCATCTTTCAGCACATTTTTTACTTGTAGGAACTCATCTGGCCTGTCTCCACCAATAATGGTAAAGCCAAATCCCATCGTGCTTTTCTTCAACGATGCTCGGATAAGGATGCCTTTCAGCTGGGACGGATCTCGAGTAAAGTGGGATTTTTCCATATCTGCACCAAAACAAGAAATGGGTTTGAGAACAAAAATAAAAACAATGAACATGGCCCTCAGAGTCAACTTTAAGAGAGTCTATATAACTTAAATATAATAAACCATAAAGGGATGCACATTAGAGAGAATCTAATGTTATGAAACAGAATTTAAATTCATAAACTATTAAAAAAAAAAAACACCTTAGCCAGTGACTCCAGGCATCTCTTACAGGACTTCTCTACGTTATCTGAAAGGTAAAAGCATGTACTTTATCAACCCCTCATTGCTTTGTTTATGCATACTTTTTCTCAACCCAAAGAGTCCTTCATATGAAGTCAAAATATGCACCTGCGGGATAAACTTTATTATTAAATTCCTGAGAGTCTTACACACCATTCAGCTGTACATTTCATTTAAATAAACATCTACTGAGCTCTACTGAGAAAACACTATTCTGGGAGGATGAAGGCAATGGCCACACACTTATGAAAAAGAATATACTGAGATACACTGAGAACTTTTTATAATTCACAACTCGGGCTTTCTGCAGCCTTCAGTTTGTATCTGATGAAGGCATGAATTCCTGAACTATCAGTAAATAGCTTCACCTTTCTTTCCCTTTTACTCATGTTCAGTGAATACTCTGGGAAAAAAACAAACACAGCTCCACTGAAAAGCCCATTTTTAGAGGTTTCCTCAGATGATCCTAAAACTGAAATTGATCCATTTTGGCAAATAATGAATTTATACAACTCCTTCTCCTTCCCCTCTTCTCCTCTCTGGCTGCATTTAGGCACTTTTGAGAACCGTGAAAAGATCTAATTGTGCAATTAATAACTTACAAAGAATTGTTTAAATTAACTTCTAAAAAGATGGCCTAACATTTGTTGCCAAATATTTAATAGTTTTATTGAGATATAATCACATATGATAATTGAGCCACTTAAAGTGTGTCAGTCAACGTTGTGCAATCATCACCTAATTTTAGGAACCCACGCGGGTTAGCAGCCACTCCCCATGTCTCCCTCACCTGCATTCACACACCCTAGTGTTAGGCAATCACTGAGTTGATTATTGTCTTCACCTCTGCCCAATTTGGACATTTCATATAAATGGAGTCATGGACTATGTGATCTTTTGAATGATTCCTTTCACTGAGTATCATGTTTTTGAGGTTCATCTGGGTTTTAGCATGTATGAGGACTTTATTCCTTTTTACTGCCAAGTAATATTTCACTGTAGGGATATCTCTTGTTTTACTTATCTGTTTCTCAGTAGATTGACAGCTGGGTTGTTTCCACTTTTTGGCCATTACGAGTGATTCTGTTATGACCATACAACGTACAAGGCTTTGTGTGGACATACACTGTCATGCCACTTCTGTATATACTAGGACTGGAAGGGCAGCAGTTGCCATAAACTTAAGAGTAACTATGTATAATGTTTTGAAAAACTGCCACACTTTTCCAAAGAGGCTGCACCATTTTCTATTTCTACTGGCATCTATGAGGGTTCCGACACTGGTTACTGTGTGCTTTCTGGTTCTAGCCACTCTAGTGAGCATGAGTGGTATCCTGCTGTGGTTTGGGTGCTCATTTCCCTAATGACTTCAATCAACACAGGTGATGTGTTTCATACAAAGCTCACACTCAGCACTATATCAAGCCCAGAGTTATTTGTGGATAGCTGCTGCTGCCCCTCTTAGCAAAGGTTTTTTTTTTTTTTTAAGGTTTTATCTATTTGACAGAGAGAGAGCTCAAGCAGGGGGTGCAGTAGAGGCAAGCTTCCCTCCCACTGAGCAAGGAGCCCGATGTAGGACTCGATCCCAGGACCCTAGGATCATGACCTGAGCCAAAGGCAGATGCTTAATGACTGAGCCACCCAGGTGCCCTTAGCAAAGGGTTTTAAGAGGTACACCTTAAAGCCTGTTACCAGTTAGAAAAGAGTCATCTTTGGAGCTGCCCCATATGGCAGCAGGGACTGGGCGGTGTAAATAGCTCCCTCCAGAGGTAGGGATGTCCTGAAGATACTGACAAAGGTAGGCCTGTGGTGGGAGTAGGTCTACTGACATGGTCCCCACCGCGTGCGTGCGTGCGTGCGTGCGTGCGTGCGTGTTTTTAAAGAAGAGTAAATAAAGGTGGCCTTTGGTTCAAGAAAAAGAAAACTTCTCCCAGTTCTGCTGATCTCTTCTAAATAAAAGTACTTGACACAAAATAAATAAAGAAAGGCAAGAAGAAAGAAAGAAAGAAAGAAAGAAAGAAAGAAAGAAAGAAAGGAAGGAAAATTCACTATTTTGGGCTTCTGAAAGTGGAGGACTAGACCCCAGAGGGCAGTGCACTGACCACTGTAGACACTATTTTGGGAGGCCTCTCAGAGCTTGGCCAGCAAGCCTATTCCTGGTGATCTCTCCGTACACTGCTGAGCTGAGCTCTTGTTCAGCCTCTGACATTCCAAATAGCCATCTGTCTCTGAACGAAATATTGCTTAAAAAAATTATTCAACATATTCAAAGCCCATTCCGTTGTGTAAGCTGATTACGACTGCCCACTGGGGTCGCCTCCCAGGTTGTGGACCAGATCATCTGCATAATGACTGTGTACACAAGCAATTGAGGACAAGATCTGATGAAATGTACCTTTCTCACTTTTAACCATGATACTTCGAATACTGTGATACTTCTGGTGAGCTATGTCATGCTCTAGTCCTCCTGAACATTGGAATAAGAGGGCCTCCTATGGGCAAAACTAGAAAATCAGCATAGGACACATGAGATTCAGATGTGCAAACATTAGAAGGGGGAGAAGGGAGTTCTAGCTAATACCTAATTTTGAAACTATGAATAAAACAGCCAAAGCTAATGACAAGTTGATCAGAATTAGGTCTTGTCAGAATTAAACACAGGAAAGGGAGAATAAGAAAAGCACAAAGGAACAGTCTTTGACTCTAAAATACCTGATTTTAAGTCCAAACTGTGGGGTTTAGTTGAGTGATCTTGGAATGTTATTTGACCTCTTATTTTTATTTATTTTTATTTTTGTTATTTGACCTTGTAAAGTCTCAGTTGCTTCATCTATAAAATAGGAGTAGTAGTACACCTCATTCATGGGATTGTTATAGGGATTAAACTAGGCCAAGCTTCAAAAGCACAGGCAACAGGGCCTGACAAATAGTAAGTGCTCAATAAATGTACAGGAGCACAAACATATGCATCCTGGCTCAGAAACTGTGTACTTCTGTCCTTGTGGCAAGTGTATCCTTGGAATGGATGCATCCAACAACTGTAACCTGATGTTATCAAGGCATCTGAATGGAGACCATAATATTAACCTCGCAGAGATATTTTGAGTCTTAGCTGAGATGATATATACAAAGCATCCAACTGAGTACCTGACCCAGTAGCTCAATAAATGGTAGCCATCATTTTTCAAGAACTAGCATAACTTCTACCATTTCTAGGAAGTTTTTCTTGCCCTCTCCACAGTCAGATTTAATTTCTCTCTCCTCTGTTCCAAGTCTCTCCTTTGTTATGTCTGCTGTCATACTGTCTCTTTCCCTACCTAAATCATGAGCTCCTGAAAGACAAAGCCTAAGTTATTATTCTCCTTTTGATGCCCAGCTCATAAGAGAGTGCCTGGTTACCCAGATTATTAACACATCCACACTCACACCCACGCTCCCTGCTCTTGAGGAGCTTAGAGTTTAGTGAGGGAGAGAAGATCTCCCTTGATATATGCCATGAAGACATGGGCATTCAGGAACTGTATGTTTTAATGCAAAGAACTCTGAATTTAAACTCAATAAAACTAAGTGCAAATTCTGGCTCGATACTCACTATGATTCTAAGCAAAAGGCTTCTCTTCACTGAAGTCTCAGTTTCCGTACGTGCAGTGGGGATTCATGTCTCTCTCAACTTAGTGTCCTCCGTCTAGCCTCTTTGAATCAAGGCTATCAAAACAAGTAACTGCACCCCATCTCTACTTCGTCACTCACCATTCCTTCTTCATTCTACTGCATTTTTACTTCCTGTCCACTTGCTTTTGCTAGAGTGACAAATCACCTCCACGTTGTTGACCTCAGTGTACGTGTTTCAATTTTTGCCTTTCTGGACTATTCAGCAACGTGGGACACAAACACTCAACTTCTTTTTGAAACCCATTCCTTCTCGTGGTTGCCTCTCCCTACAACCTCATCTTTTTTTACTTTTTCTAACCATTTCTCTCTGTCCTCTGGCCCCTGGACCACCATTTCATGCGTCTGTGGCTTTATACATTCTGTTCCTTCTACCTGGCATGCCTTCTTGTTCCTCTAAAATTATCACCTGTCTGATTTAACTTTTCTGGACACTTCAAGATCCACTCTTAATGTGTCCTCTGCTTTGAAAGTTCCTGTGTCCTTGACTTTCTCCACCAAAGGAGAAGTGAGCACCCCCTCCTTCATGCCACCTATTAATACGTTTCTATTAATACAACATGTACATCTCTATTAATAACAATGAGACCTAGTATTTATTGCCCACCATTTGCCAGATAGCATTGTAAGCACTTTCCATATATTAATTTGCATGCTCAGAACCGCCTTACGTGGTAAATACTCTTCTCATTCCTATTTCATAGATGAAGAAAAAGAAGCACAAAGAGTTTAGGGAATTCATCCAAGGTTATGTATTTGGGATTCACACCTGCTCCACCCTCCACATACTTAACTGCTCTCCGAGGATGGCACCAAACACCATCTATAACCATTAATTTCCTGCATCAGCCTGTGAGCTCTTGAGGGCAAGACCTGTCTTACTCCTAATCGTTTTTGAATACTGTGTGATTGGCAGAGCACTAGGCACATAGTAGGTGCTCAGAAATATTTGTTAAGTAAAAATGCTTGCTAAATCAAATGCAAAACCTAAGGGACAGGACTATGTTTCTAAAGAGTAGTTGTAAGAAACAAGTGCCTCTTTTGTGGACGACAGAAGAAGAGTCTACTTGATTTGTACAGTATGACCGCACAGACAGAACGCCGGTTATTAGGACAGATGGAGGAGTGGAGAGAGATGGGGGGGATGAGTGGAACGTAAGAAATTCTCGGGCAGCTTTTTCAAAATACACGTGGCTAGGCTCATAAAAATGTTAGGATCTATGTATTTTAAAAATATTCCCCAAATGATACCGAATGACTGATGCCCTGCCATCCCACTTCGGGAATCAATGATACAGGCAAATACTATGATGGATTTATTCCTATCAGTTAATAAAGAATCCTGGATGGTCACACACATTAGACCTAAGCATTAACTTGGGAGAAACATATATTGGATTAGAGAACTCAGACTGTCCTGGCCTGAAACATTGGGAAACAATGCAGTCTTTGTATCACAACCTCAAGCCCATAACAAAACTATTCAATACCTTTTGCCAACAATTTCACACTTCCCATCTAAGCAACACGGGAAAATCCCAGTGTTCTCAAAAAGTTTAGATGTTTTATTAAGATTATTCCTATCTTCACAGTGACAAAAATCAGACATTCTCTGTTGCACCTCAACACTTCAACAATAAAAAGTTCCAGCTTATTTTCATTAATTCAGCACATAAATTTTAAAGGCATTCTTAGAAGAAAAGACTGAGGAAAACATTCTACCTGGTTTTGAAGATCCAGTATCGGCCTGTCCTAACTGCTTTTTCCTCTTGGCTTCTTCCACTGGATTTTCAAACTGGGTTTTCTGGTTAAGGTGACTGTACCGTAGAAAAACAAGCATTTCAGTTTAAAATGAAAGAGTTATGTTATTTTTAAGTAGGCTGTTAGACCATTTCATCCCCATAGGTGAAGGGGCAAACATGTATCTCTAGACTGTGGAACTCAGAGAAGCTGAAAGATGGTAGGGGAAGGGCTTTTGGCAACGAAAGAAAGACCCATGGAAAATGCCTAAAAGTGAAAGCTGCTGAAACATTCACTATAGCTTCTGCATCGAGGTGCCCAACAGAGCCAATAATAGTTTTCAAAGCTGTAGGAGACACCCTCACATCTAATGCAATCAGAACAGCTGGTAATGGATCAGTTCACTTTCTAAAAGGCAGTTAATGATAGGAGGATTTTAATTCAAGTTTCTTTAAAATGAAGTAGCTGTGAAGATGCTTTTGGAAAAATCTGAGTACAGAAGCTTTCTTGAATTTTACTATTATTTTTCCAACTGACTGACCCACATCAATTTAGCACTATAACTAAGAAAGAGATTTGCTTTTATCAATTTGTATCACAGAACAACTCTTCCACACTCAACTTTTTTCATAATTATATAATAATTAAAATAATGATGTAATCACGATAGAAATTTAGCTGGTATTTCTGGTTTGGGAACGTTCACAACTACTTTGGAAAGCACACAAGTCTGTGAGGGAAAGCAGAATGGCCTGGGGACACCAAGGGTGAGCAAATGGCTAACAATGGTCAATGCATGACGGGCGGTAATAGTACGTTTTGGGGTGGGGGTGGGCAGAGCACTGGTCAGTCTGGCAAATCAGTCAGTGGGATGTTGGTTAAGAATGCAATAACTGCACACAAGTTATTTAAACAGGTTCTGATACAGAAGCAATGGGAATTACAGTTTAGCACTTCCATGGTACAAATATATTTCAGCCAAATGACAGCATTTTCCCGTAGAATCCACTTTAATGAGAAGTAACATTAGCAAATACCAACAATTAAATATCAAATCATGAGAATCTCAGATTATGACTGCCTTTAGATAGGGTGAATATTACAAAATTTGCATACAAATGGTCCTACAACTTGGATAATTACTTTGCCATCTGTGAACATTAATGGCGGTGATGGAGGAGGGTAGCAAGGACCCACCAGGGCAAGGTGTGCTGGTTTTCTCTATGTCATTTAGGCTTCTAGTGCATTATTAACTCTGCAACAGATGTAGTTGTTTCAGAGTTCTAAACATGGCAAGTTCCATTTGAAATTCTTTGGGTTGTGATTTCATTAACTCTCAAGTATGCTTCTGCTTCCCACCAAGGTGAGGCCCTCGGGGGAAAATGGAGATCTTTGGTATTAAGTAAGGACCAATTATTTATTAGGTACCGATATTTTACATGTTCTTGAAAGAAAAAAATAAAAACACCAGAAACTGACACTCAGCAAAGAATAAACCTGTTTAGAATAAATCCTGGCTCTCTTTAACGTCATCAGTTGGAATGACTCATTTTGCCACCTAGGCATTAAAACATAAAAAGTAGTAATTTGTATTTATACTCTATTGTACTGTGTGGGAGAGGAGAGTAGAAGTATGCAAGTGAGTAATCCCTTCCCTGAAAACTCTTTGACAAAAGACTGTAAGATTTTAGTGCAGGGAGTAATTGCATCTGTCACCTTAAACTACTTGGATTAAAATGCTACCCAAATAACAAAACAAAACATAAAAGTTAAAACACTCTCCTTTTCATTTAGTTACTTATACTCACAATATTGTTTAGATGTAAGAGATTTTGTTTTCCATATAACTAGCTATGGGAAGTAGGACAGGCGTACCTCACAGATTACGGAAAAAACTAAACAAGGGTAGCAAAGAAGCATGACTAAATCAAGGACGTATAACTTGGAATGTCATCTGCATTAACATTTTGTGTATCATAGGTGGATTTCAAAAGTTCATCTCCACAAACAAGACCCTTATTCTATCATGACGATTTTGAGATATGTGAGCAGAGGTATATTTTGACTTTGAAACCTAAGCGCGTCAAGACATTCAATGCAATACAGGAAGACAACATTTCTAAATACATTAGCATTCTTATAGAAGGCCTGCCATTAAATTTTTGGAACAATTCTTTTTTCAAAAATAAATTAATCCATTTCAGAATCTCATCCCCGAAAATAAATACGTGCAAAGAAAAAGTGCCATTGCAGTTGGTGTTACTACTACAAGGCTCTGCCAAAAGCAATCATTGTGCCATCTGGTTTGACAAAGTGAGAGAGCCAAAGAGTAGCCATTCAAGTAACAGCTTTTTATCTCCATCAGTAAACTCACTGCAGATTACTATGGTCGGGATTCAAAACCTGACTAATCTGGGAATCAAGCCACACTCCATAGCTCAGCTGACTCCCTGCTAATGTGCATCTTGAGTACAGCCTGCTCTTTCTTAATCTAATAAATTACCCTCCTGCAAAATGAGCTTGTTCTGAGAACAATCAGACAAAATCATGTCGCCACTGCTGTTGCCTCTCATTCAGGCGATCTTACACACGCTCCGTGACAACTGGGAGTGGGTCACTTCAGGATTCACCCGAAAGTTGCTTCAATATGGTATCTTTGCTTAATGAGAATCAGATCGTTTAGCCCAAGATTTTGTAAGAGGCAAATGACTTTCACCTCTTGACCATGTATTCAAATTTACTTGGAACAGACAATAAGAGAATGAGAATCATTATTGCAGAAATGTGCAGCAGTGTCAATGGCAATTAACAGTTTACTGAAGCCAAATTTAAATAGGCTAAACAGCTGGGGGGGGGGGAACCCACAAAACCTTTCCAGTTGGCCTTCCAATAGTCCTTTGACTGAGAAATGGTTGTTTTATTTTAACTAAATATGCTTTAGAAAAAACCACTGCAATAAAAGAGCTGCTGTCTACTTTTCACATGACAATATCAACAAGATACTAAACAACACAGTGAAACTAAGAAGGCACAGCTTTCCAAAGGAATCAAAGTGTTGACCCTGTGAATTTATATACTGAAGAGTCAAACTGAACTGTTTTCTTAGGGTACACGTTCGATTTTAAGAAATCATTCCAAAAATCTAGCCACAGGGACTCCAAGAACAATCTACACATGCTCATAAAGATGTACACTTGAAATAAAGGTGACATTGTGTGCCAACTATACTTTGTTGAAGTAAAAAGACTAGAGTCAGGACAGGAATCAGAGATACTACAGGGATAAATACTAAGAAATGACATTTGTTTACACCAAAAAGTGATGAAAAATTAATAAGCAATCCTACATCTAGAAGACTCCCATTTTGTTACTTTCTCAGGTAATGATATTTGGCCTTCACTACCTCGGCAGTAGGTTCAGACTCCTAGTTCCTGGGTACACGGCAGCAACATTTCTGAGGCAGTTATCTGCCTGAGGTCAAAATTCTACCTATAGCATTTGGAAAGGAAGCAATCGCTCATCGTAACAACGTCGCGATTACATACATGAAAAAAGGGAAAGAAGAATCTGAGGATGTTGAGAACACCCTGATTTCTCTGACTAACATAGGCAGGTGTTCTGTGCTCCTCTCCGACACACACTTAAGTTTAAATTTAACCGTAACAGCTGTGTAAGAAACAACCTCTTCCCCCTGAAGTGTTTCTTGATTAACTCCCCGGAAGACAGAGCACTTCTAATCCTGTACTCCAAAAACTTTGGATCATTACGGCTCACTGCCCTTACAGTGCTTTTGCCGCCTTCACGACCAAAGAGCTGTGGGGTTGGAAGTGACCGTAACATTTCATCTAGTTCATGCCCTCATTTCAGTCTTCTATACGCTACTTTCCTCTTCAGACGCCGTGGTCATAATGGTTACACTCCCAGCTACTCATCAGCGTGGCCACGTCCCTCTCGCTCTGTTTACTTCAAAGCCAAGTTCTGGGGAGCCCAGAACCACTGAAGTAAATGCTCCCTACCCCTACTTCTCACTCCCCTCATGGAAAGCCTCAGAAGCTGGGCTGCCAAGACATAAAGTGTTGTGTTCCAGTGATCCCCTAAAGCTGTACAGTGAAGGGAAGACGTTTGGGAGAGTTTGAACTGAGGTAACAAACTTACTCGACATAGTATGTCCCGTACTGTGGGTCTTCTATCTTCTCCCAGCCATAAGGAAGTTCTGGGGGAGGGGAAAAAAAGGGAGTAAAAAGCCAGATTCGAAACCAACAGAGAAGAATCACCATGAGTGAATTTAAATGTCTTTTAGTTCATGACACTCGTATTTGGGAGACTGGCCAAAAGCTGAGGATTTGCTTTCAAAGAACAAACAGTGCTTGGGTCTGACTGGCTTCTTCAGGAGCTAGCGAGTGTCTCAGCAGGTAATTAGGAGCCCAGAACAAAAGATGACCTTTAACTCAAACGTGTTTACCTGAATCAGAAGCCATAAAACGTTAATTATTTAAAAAATCGGCTGGTGTAGATCCTTCATTTAAACAGCTTGATAATGTCAGTGCAAGACACACTAGCCCTCTGGTTCAGTACAAGCAGCAGCTGCTTGTTGCGTTTTTCGCCATTATACGTAAGACTTGTCAATTATGTCTGTTATTCTGCCCCACTCTCCCCCTAAAAAAAGTCCAGCCTTGGATTTTTTTCCTTTCAGGTGAGCAATTGAGATTTCCTTTATATCTAAGAAAATACCTACTTTCCCTTGCATTAACTTGAGCTTTGGAAGGCAAATGTGAAATAATGACCACAGTGCCTTGTGTAGAATCTATATTTGTGTCTGGCAACAAAGAACTATCTTACATAGGATTATTATATATTATTCATTCCAGGTAACTGATCAATGAAACAGACCTAGAAAAACGGACAGTAGGTGAATATCTGATAGCTTCAAAAAAAAAAAAAAAAAAAAAAATCTGGTCTCTACAAGGGAAACTGACCTCGTCAAGAAAGAACCCTCTTTTCCTTCCCACTGTTTTCCAAGTTAAGGCTTCTGAAGAATCATTTTATTAGTAAGACATGGATTCACTTGGCAGGAATGTTCCTAGCAGGTGGTTTTAGTGCTAACAATTTATACATAGGAGCCAAGCAAAAAGGAGTTTTCTTTTTTTTTTTAAAAAAAAAAACCCACAGTTACCCGCTATGATGATCCATACTTTTATTTTGAATTTCTTTTAAAGTGTTTTCCTGCTAGGATCACACACACACACACACACACACACACACATATATGCAATGTATGCTAGACAACAAGTAGGCTTAGAATATATTCAAAGCTTTATTAATTTTCTCCCACTTAGCTGTAGTTTTGATGCATTGACTTTCTAGGTAAAAATTTCACTGTAATGTAGCTGACAAGATATACGAACTGTTATGCGCTAATAAAGTTATTTCACATTCAGAATAAAGGCAGAGAATAAAAGACTAGCCCCTTGATGAAAGCTCTGAATCACCTTCACCCCTTTTTTCCATCATATTTCTCTGCCTCTGTGTGTGTGTGTGTGTGTGTGTGTCTGTGTATTGACTGGTGGTTTTGAAGCTTGGTGAGTTTTTGTGGTTTTTCTTTGAAGGACCGGGCTGAAATGTCTGAGGTGGAAAAGAAGGGAATAGCTGAAAATGGCTACGTGAAAACAGAATAAAACAGCTGAGAAGAACTGAGGCATTTTTCAGCTCACTTTGATCCTCCACAGCTGTGAAGAAAAGAATTGTCAATTAAGTAAGGATAATAATTTGTGACCAAGTAACTGTTATGGGGAGAAGAGTATTTGTTGGATTGCATGTGTAAAATATGTTCTTTAATAATATTACCAAAGCATTACCATTAAGCATCCTCCATGAAAGAGATTTTTTTCTTTAATAGGGAGTTTCTTGAAATACCTCGGGAACTGAGTGGTGCTGAGTGAGGCTGGGCCCTATTACGGCACCACAACTGGATTTATGCTTTGTTTTTAGAAAAGTCTGGAGAGCTGCAAGAACTGTAGAAACCACGTGATATCTAAAAAACTCACTAAAAAGAATGTATTAATACTTAAAAAGGATAAAAGAGCAACATAAATATATTTCAGCATTAATCTGGAAGTTGATTCAGCATTTTAATTAGCAACTAACAGAAAAAGCACATCCTTTTTTAGGACAGTAAATAAAATGGTAATTTATCCTCTGGGTTACTTTTAGTTATGGCTTTAATTCCTCACCACGGAGAGCCTTAGCCAGTTTTCTGCAGGGCAGATTAATGCAGATAAAGAAATGGTTATTATTTACCCATTCAAAATAAAGTTAATAAAAGTAACACTAAAACACCCAACAATTTTGTACATTATCCAGTGGGTCAATTAATTCACTGGCTTCCTTCCCTTTTTTCCTCTCCCTCTCTTCCTCCTCTTTTCTTCTTCCTTAGGCAAAAATAATTAGAAACACAACACAGTTCTTGACCTCAAAAAGTTCAGTCTAAGCAGAAAGGCAGAAAAGATAAATTACATAATAAAGATAAACACCAGCTTTTGGGGGTGTGTGTGCCGAGGAATGACATCAATTGCCTGGTAAGCTATCAAGAAAGCCTTCTAGAAGAGGGCGATGTTTGAGCAGTCTTAGAGGAGGATTTGGAAATGGGGAGAAGGGGGCCATTCTGACAGGTCAAAGAGCGCTGAGGGGTTAAGAATGGGTGGGATTTTCAGTAATTACAAATAATTTGATAGGACTGGAGTGAAGGTTGTATGCAAGGTGCTTATCTCATAGGCAAGCACCAAATCGCATTTCTTGAGTGCCACGTTAATGACTGTGATCTTCATTTAGATGACAATGTAACTGATCATGCTGGACAAAGACTGGGCCCAGCACCTGTCTCCCTGCTCAGCAGGGAGTCTGTTTCTCCCTCTCTCTGCCCCCCCTCACCCCTGCTCATGTGCTCTCTCTCTCAAATAAATAAAATCTTAAAAAAAAAAAAAAAAGTCACAGCAGTGGACAAAATTACCTGGATAAATTGTGAGCAGAACAGGTAGAGAATAGAACCGCAGGAATATTCACATTTTAAGGAGCAGATGGAGAAAGTAAGAATAGTCAGGGGGAAGGGTGTCAAAGACAGGGGAGGAGAGCATGATCAACACTAATACACACTCTGCAAAGCTGTCAGAACCAAAGGGCTGAAAAGAGACCACCAAATCTGGGAATCAGGAGGCTACTGGTGACCTTAAGACAAGCACTCTCACTGAAAAGGTAGGCGGCGGAAGTCAGCATATTGTAGTAGTGGGAAGGAAAGCAGGAGGTGGAGTCCTTAAGAAGAGATGACCTACTTTTTTTTTTTTTGAAACTTGGTTGTGGAAAAGGCAGTTGAGAACTGGGAGGAGTAGGGTCAAGAGAACGTATTTATCTACTATTGAGATAAGAAAGACCTAACACCATATCTTTCTGGGCTGGAAGCCAAAGCATTCTCCCCAAAACCATTTCTGGAGTATTAAGCAGCTGGCTGGTTCTATAGCCCATGAATCTATCTTTGTTTCCTCTTGCCCAGATAATATTTTTCTTATTTAAATATATGAATTGCAATTGTTTTCTCATTGTGGAGTAGTTAGTGGATAAATCTTTTTTATCATTCCCTAAGTTCCACAATACCATCAACATTTAGTATTTTTTAGCCTTTAGTAAAAATGGAATCTTTCATCATAAAAGAGGTGATCTGGTATAAAATGGATTCCTGATGTTGTATTTTTAAGATAACTATTTAACCAAAGCACTACCTATTTTAGTTGAATGAAGATAGATACGTACATCAATTAAACCATTGGATACAACATCAAGATACAGTTGGGTTCTGGATATCAGAAGACTAGGAAGGAAAAGGGCAAGTTTTAGAAACTAAGGTTTTTCTAGAAGATCTTCAGTGTTTAGCAGAATACGAGCAATAAACATCTTAAACTACAAAAACTTACATTTAAAATATCTTCATTATTATTATCCCTTATTGAGCATCTACTCTGCAAAGCACTGTGGAGAACACCAGTGTAAGTCAGATTTAGTGTAGAGGGAAATAGTGTATTATGGGGCCATTTCTGCCATTCAGGGAGGAGACTGAGTGCACAGTAAAAGTGGTAACGTTGGCTGAGCGTCAAATAGGCTCAGGGGTCGCAACTGTGGGGTTCCCACTCTAAGTACAGGTGACCTGAGGAAGGCCTACCCAGCTGTGGGGATGGAAAGCAGTCCTTCTATCAAAAAGTTTTGAACATTCTTAGAATACTAAGTGCACCTGTGGTTGCTCTTTCTTAAGAAAGATATAATTAGGATGACCATATAATGTACTGCCCACTTTTGAGAGTAAAAGGAGACACTATTATTAATGATGCTGGGACAAAAGGTATAAGCTGGGTTAGTTCTGGGCCAACCAAGACATATTGTCACCTTCAACGTAAAGAGCATTAAGGGGGCACATTCATCCAACTTTTCAAATTTTTACAGAGGGAAGAGAATGGGAGACACAGTCCACTTTCTCTGAGCCCCTTTCCTTTCTTCTCCAAGGAAGAAAGTCTATCCTATCTGACTGGAGACTTTTAGACATGAATTCAGCTTGGCTCAGGGCTTCTTGAGTTCCCTCACTGTTGCCCGCAGACAGTGCAGTCTGGTCTGATGTGCCGGGCCTGCCTTAGGGGAGGGGTCTTAGCTGATCAGAGGCCAGAGAGCCACAGAGCCTTCAGCTGAGTGCTGAAGGCTGCTTCCTGCAGGGTTGTAAAACACCAGTAAGCCTATGCAGGTGCAGAGCTAAAGCCATGTCTGCTCACCCGCTCCCATTTTAACCCATCCCTCTGCTTCCTGGGTCTTATTTCTCTATTGACTCCCAATAGGTGAACAAAGATAGGCTCACTATTCAAGGCCTCTGCCCAGAGCTTCATAGAGATTAAAACATATTTTCAAGGAGGCTGAAATAATCTTGGGGATAGAGTGGCTTCTTCCCTTCCCCCTTTTCCTTCTCCCCTCCTTCCAAACATTTAAGCCTCTACTGAAGGGACAAGTGGATAAGGAAGACAAAATCATCACTCTTACAGAGTATATGCATCTAGTTACTCTGTAATGTGATACATGCTCCAGTAGAAATATATCCTGTGCTACTGTTGAGCACAGAGAACACCTAATTCTGATCGCAGAAAACGACAGAGGCGGCGACAAAGAAATTAGACTCTAGAACTGAGCTTAGGAGGAGAAGTAGGTCTGAGCCAGGTGGACACAGGGAATGAGGCTTGTTCCTGGCTAAAGAGATGGGCACGTGGCAGAGGCAAAGACAAAGACAAAAATGTGTCATATTTGTGACATGAAAATACTTGGGAGAAAAGAAAGCAAGAAAATACTTCAAAAAAGAAATACAGAATAGAATTCAACTGTAAACTAGACTTTATTCTGGGACTGCATGGAGCCATTATAGGTATCTGAGCAAGAGAGAGGTGTAAGACAGTTATATTCCAGAAAGAGTCATAGCCAATGTGGCCAAAGGTTTTTGATCATGTAGCCTTATCAGCAAAACATTTAACATGCACTTCAAGAGGTATATGGTTATCCATAAATATATGTGTCCCACACTACTACTATGTACATAATAAAGCACACACAAAACAGAAAAAAAAAGAAAGATGAAATGAATGATTATCACGGTTTTACCTCAATGTGGTTTTAAAAAGCTGACATGAGGTACAGGAAGTACCAGCTTTGCTGTTTACTTACTGTTCGTTTGGGCTTGTATTATCTTCAACAGGTGGTAGAAATCCTTTGCAGAAATCCTTCTAAGCCACATTTCAGTTGTGTGGGAATTAAAAACTAAATAACAAAGTCTATATATCCTCTTAACTGGGCACAAGTAAACTGTAAAATCTTACTGAGTGCCCTTGACAAACGTAATAGTGCTATGTCCATTTTCCCCCCAAGACACTCAGGGTACTGTGCACGATCATCTGACATACAGAATGAGAAAGAGCGCGTTGTCAATCTGTATGTAAAATAGGAGAGAAACTTAGTTTTTTGCCCCAGTAGAAACATTATGAAATTATGAAAAATAAGTTCTAACTGTATAGGGAATAGAGCAAGAGGAGAGGAAGAAGCAGATGTGCCCCTGATCACCTGGCCCAGGGGACTGTGAGCATGGTACCTATGACAGAAAGAGAGATGGGGTGACTCTAGGAGAAAGATGTCAGTTTAGTTTTAATTATGTGTGTTAGAAGTGCTACTAGGGCACTTTAAAAAAAAAAAGTGTTTTTGGTTTACGGAGATAAAGTTGATACAAATTATGTTTTAAAATTAAAACATAAAGATAAATTAAAAAATTTAAAAGTCTCAAATGCAGTAGGAAATACAAAAATAGAATTCAAAAGAGGACCATACTAGAGATTCAAAAAGGAGGCCAGCTATAGTAAATTAATAGTTAGAGCTGTGACAATAAAAACATTCTACAACGGAAACAGGAAAAGGCAAGAGAGGCGAATGGAACAATCAGCGCGCAGGAAAAGGCATGAAGAGCGGCAACAGAGATGTACCTGAGAAGACGAACACCACACTCACCCGCTTCAGAAAATGAAATTCTCTGGTATAACCTATTCGAGTTTACCTTTACAGTGGCCGATTTCACCATATGGAACTTTCTAATGAAAGCCATATAGAAAAGGGTGGTATGTTATAAACATCCAGCAAAATACAGAGATCTTAAGTGCTCGTTCAGTTTAAAAAAAAAAAAAAATGAGTTTTGACAATTGCATGTGCCTTCCTAACCACCACTCCAAACAAGATGGAGGACATATTCATCATTCCAGAGAATTATTTCAATTCACCAACCTCCCCATTCCCCGCCTCATTTTCCAACTTCTATCAGCATAGATGGAGTCTGCCTGTTCTCAGACTTTAATGGGTAAGTGAGTATCCATTCTTTTGTGTCTGGCTTCTTCTATTCAGCAAGTTTCTGAGATGGTTGAGTGTTATCAACAGTTTTTTCTTCTTACTGATGAGTAGTATTTCATTGTATGAATATACCAAAAAGTGTTTATCCATTCTTCTGCTGATGGGTATTTGGAATGTCTCCAGGTTTGAGTTATGGATATGGCCGTCGTGATCAGGTAAAATCTTTTGGGGAACATGGGCTTTCATTTTTCTTGAGACAATGCCTCATGGGCACTGTCCAAAGTTCTCCACAATGTTCACATAATTTTACCTCCCCACCTACGAGTAAAAGTTCCCAGATGCTCTACGATCTCCCTAGCCCTTGAATCTAGCCCTTCCAGGGAGTGTGAATGGCCTCTCACTGTAGTGATGGCTAAGGATGATGAAAACCTTTTCAGGTCCTTCCCATCTATTCTGCTGTTTTCTTTGGTGAAGTGTCCAAATTCTTTGGCCATTTTGAAAAACCACCTTATTGAGGTATATTTTGCATATTATAAAATTAATCTGTTTTAAGTGTTCAATTCAAGGAGTTTTCATCATTTACTGAGTTGTGCAACCATCACCACAATCCAGTTTTGGAACATTTCTATCACCCCAGTAATATCCCTCATGCCATTTAATCTCTGTTTCCATCCTCACCACTGGGCAACCACTACTGATCTTTCTGTCTCTGTAGATCTGCCTATTCCAGGCACTTCACATAGATGTAATCCTGTAGTAGTTGGTCTTTTGGGTCTAGTGTCTGTCATTTGGAACAATACACTGAGATTTGCTCATGTTGTTATATGTAAACTATTTCATTCCTTTTTATTGCTGAATAATATTCCACTGGATGATTTTATTTATCCATTTATTAGTTGGTGGCCATGTGAACTATTTCCACTTTGGGGCTGTTATGAATAGTGATACCATGAATACTTACAGGCAAGTCTTTGTGTGGACATATGTTTTCATTCCTCCTGAGTAGATGACTAAGACTGGAATTGTTAGGTGATGGGGTAAATTTGTATTTAACCTTTAAGAAACTATCAAACTGCTTTCCAAAGCAGCTGTACCATCTTACATTCTGCCCAGCACTGCACCAGGGTTACCATTTCTTCCTATCCTCACCAACATTTGTTATTATCTGTCTTTTCTGATTATAGTTACTCTAGTGGATATAAAGCGGCATCTCTCTGTGGTTTTAATTTGCATTTCCTCAATGACTAATGATGTTAAGTATCTATTCTAGTGGTTTTTGGGCATGTGTAGATCTTCCTTGGTGAAATGTCTATTTAAAAATTTGGTTGTTTGTCTTATTAATGAGTTATAACCATTCTTTACAGATTCAGGATATAATTTGTCAGATACATATCGCAGAGCCTACAACTTTGTCTATCCATTTTCTTAATGGTGTCTTTTGATGAATAAAAATTTTAAATTTTTATTAAGTCCAATTTATCAAGTTTTTCTTTCATGGTTCATACTTTTTGTGGCCTAAGACATCTTTGCTAATCCTGCAATTAGGAAGTTATTCTCCTAAATTTTCCTCTAAAAGATTTAGGGTTCTAGCTTTTATGGTTAGGTCTTTGAGCCATCTGAAATTAATTTCTGTGTATGGAGTGAGGTATAGTTGAAGTTCATTTTTCCTTACGAATATCCACCCAGTTCTGCCAGCACCATTTGTTAAAGATCCTCCTCTTCTCACTGAATTGGTTTGGCACCTGGGCTATAGATTAAGTGACCACATATGTGTGCATCTGTTTCTGGATTCTCTATTCTGTTCCAGTGATCTACTTGTCTACCCTTATGTCAATGCCACACTGTCTTGGTTATTGAGCTTTATAGTAACTCTTCAAATCTGGTTGCCTCTGTCCTTTACCTCTGTCCTTTTAAGGACAGTTATCTGGCAAACTGGAGCTATATATATTTTAGAATTGGCTTGTCAATTTCTGTAAGACAGACTCAGAGGATTTCGATTGGGATCGTACTGAATCTAGATATCAATTTAAGGAAAATGAACATCATTAACAGTACTGTGTCATTCAATCTGTGAACACAGTGTATCTCCTCAATTATTTCAAATCTTCATTATTTCTTTCAGGGATATTTTGTAGTTTTCAGTGTGTCTTTTGCATCTTTCAATAGATTTCCGCCAAGGTATCTCATTTTTTAAAATATCATGGCAAACAATTTTAAAATAATTCCATTTTCCAACTGGCTATTCCTAGAAAAAAAATCTTAATATTGCAATCAGGTGGAACAAAATGTATAAATTGTTTAATTTTTTTAATAGATTGGAGTTCAGTCTATAGTAGGCCTATCTAAAACTCATTCGCAGCCATTCATTTTTTAACCAAAGTAAGTAATTTCTGATCAGTGACACAAAATGAATTCAAATTTTATTCACCTTCACTCTATATTCAAGAAGATGTAGCAAACAATTTTGGTTGGGGTAAAGTCTGTATTTATGTGTAAGACTATACTATTAAAAATGGTATAATACATAAGACAGACAAGCATTACTAACTAAGAATCCTTAGAGAAATTTTTTCTACTAAACAGTAAAAACTGTGTGTGGGTAGGGATGGGAGGGTGGGGTATATTGGAGACTTTCACTGAATTTCTACTGATGCTCTAAAGGAAAGCTTAGCCATAAATACTAACACACCTATCCTAGTGATACTAAATTAAATATATTTTTGAAGGTTCAATAGCCATGATGAGGCTTCCCTGTGGGTAACAATGTATCTAATTTATTAAAATATTGATTTAGAAACTGAAAACTTTGTCTTTAAAACAAATGTGCAAAAGGGCAATTTACTTTTATTAAGACTCTTAACAAGGATTCTCAAAAAGAGAGAAATAAAGTCTTTCATAAAATTAGATGCAATGGGGGCGCCTGAGTGGCTCAGTGGGTTGAGCCTCTGCCTGTGGCTCAGGTCATGATCTCAGGGTCCTGGGATCGAGCCCCGCACTGGCCTCTCTGCTCAGCAGGGAGCCTGCTTCCCTCCCCAACATCCCCCCCCCAACACTGCCTGCCTCTCTGCCTACTTGTGATCTATGTCAAATAAATAAAAAAATAAAATCTTTAAAAAAAATTAGATGCAAAGACATAATTATCAGAGTCAGTTGAGTATGATATCCACCCACTGCTTATGGGCTTAGGCACATTATGGTTTGTTTAGGGTTTATGAAAACTCACTGTCTAAGCAAGAAGAACAAGAAGGGATTAAGTGAGTAAGTACAGTATAAAAGATTTCTCAATCTCTACCTCCATCTTCACAGTCTTCAGGGGCTTTGGCTTTCTTACAAAGACGAGGATCCAACCAGGTGGTTGTCTTGGTATTGTGGCTGCAGAATAAAGATTTCAGTTAGAAACAGTCAAATAAAGAGGGAGGAAACTATTTCAAAAGCAAAGATTAAAAGCAACTGAAAGGTATATGATGTTTGCACATTTCTCTCCTACAGGCTGTTTGTACACCTCTGATTCAGTAACTCTATTGTTCTCAATCTGCTCCTTCAAAACTGCCAGAGAGGGAAGGCAATGCTAGAGGCACTAATTTGAGGGAAAAGACTCTAAAGAAGGGGTAAAATGCCAAGAACAGAATAACAGACACTGATTTAAGCAGTCAAAAATATTTCAAAGGGTGGGCATCTAGCCCCATACTGTGCATTATCCGGTTGAAAAAGCTACCTTGAAGACCTTGTTTGGTTGCTGGCTGAATTCCTTCCTCCCTCCCTTCAAAAAACCTTCTATTTCTTGAGTACCTGTGCCGCCTGGCACTGTGCTGACGGCTGGCGATACAGTGCTAGACAGACTGATTCTCCTGCCTTCTAAAGGGTTCTTTAAAATGCATAAAATAAAAAGTCTTCAAGTATCTCCTTTGGCAACATGGAAGTAAAAATCATGGGTGCAGTTAAAGTCTACTCTACAAACTATGAATCACATGCTGGACAGAAAAAAGGCAGCAGCTCCGAAAGACCCTCCCACCCCGCCCCTCACACACACTCCTTCTTATGAAGCAGGCCACACGTGCTTTCAAGGAGCACTGTCACCAGGCAGCAGATACCAAGGCTAAAACAAAGCCATCACACTGCTGAGCAGACAGACAGCAGTACGGTACGAACATCTGAAACACGAGGATATTAAAGAAAGAAAACACCATGGAGGAAAATATACCGAAGACAATGATATGTAAATTAAAGTTATTATCATAGTAGTGTGAGAATAACAGTGTGAACAAACTATCTTTCATCGGTGTTTTTACCATGAGCTAAACTCCTTAATCTTTATATTAATTACTCTTAGGAAATTAAGCCAATGGCTTCAGGGAATTAATCGTACCTTCTCTGCCTTTTCTAACTCCTGAGTTACTCTGGGCCATGCAACTCCTTTCTTACACATTGCCAGGTATGAAACTAGCTGGTAGATTGTGGTAGAAACACTTTTGTATGCTGAATAATGGATAATCCGAATAGGAGAAACTGGGATTGTTTCTAGAAAGTCTGTGTTATCCATTCTGTCAAAGAGATAATTTCTCCACACTCAAGCCAGTTAAATCAATTTTAGCAATGTGAAAAGGATCAGGGCTCCAAAGAGGCTTAGCAGCATGTAGACTGTTAGGAAAAAAAAAATCATGTATGTATCTTGCTGAACCAAATTCAAAATTGCTACTTGAGAAAAGCTTAACTTTGTTTCCAATGCTCCAAAATTTTTATTGCTAAATTAGCAGATGTAGGCAATCTACTAGGATTTTACCCAATATTTCCCAAGGTAAAGAAATGTCCATAGGGGCTAGACCCAAAACATGATAGCTAAAGGCTACAGACCTATTTTCTTACAGAGGCGTGATTTAACAGCAGTAGTAACGCAGATCAAATACTTCAGCTACAGCAGCAAATACTAGTCAGCTATATTGTGGTTACAAACCCCTTATCAGATACGGGTTTGCAAATATTTGCTCCTATTCTGCCGGTTGTTTTCCCACTCATTGACTGCTTCCCTTTGCTGTACAGTTTTTAAGTTTGATCAAGTCCCATTTGTCTATTTTTGGTTTTGTTGCCTATAGTTTGTGTGTCATATCCAAGAAGTCCTTGCCAAATTCAATGCCATGAAATTTTGTCCCTGTGTCTTCTTTTAGGAGTTTTAGGATTTCAGGACTTCTATCTAGGTCTTTCATGCATTTTAACAATGTTCAACTATAAATGCATTTCTTTTGTAAATTCTATCCCCTCTCTATAATTTACTAACTTATCCCCATTTACAGTATAAAGTACTGTCAGGTTCAATGTCTCATACTTTGTTTCTGAAGATACTCTAGGCACTTCTAATGACTCCACATCTTACTTGGGGATTTAGTGCTAAAATCAGAATGAAAGTCAAAAGTCTAAGTTACTCTTGAACAACCCCTTAAATTGTCCATAGAGAAAAGTATACCTGATTTTGTCTGTTTTGCATAATCCTTGTCATTAATGTTTATGCATGTGTATAATATAATCAATTACGTACCATGTATGGTAAAAAGAAGACAATGCACACAAAATCTACGTCTTTTAAATACTGTAATTCCACTTGGTAAAAGCAAGAGGCTCAGTCTATGGGAAGGATGTGGAACTTGGGACCAAATGAGGAAACAGATTCAAGTCTCCCACCCCTAATTCATGTTTAAGTATATGTTCCTTGACTGTAGTGTCCGGCCCTTAATATTTTAATTGTTATTTACCTGTTATATTCTATAACTTCACTACATTCACATTCTGCCTCTGTACAAATTATTTTAAAGATGAGAATTATAGTTGCATAAGAATATAAAAATGCTTCATAATGAAACTTCCAAAAAAATTACTGGCATATTATTATTCTCTGGTGCAAACCATATAAAATTTTAGGTTGATCAAATACATGTGGTATTCTATAGCTTCATAAATATATTTATATTTACATTACTACTGCTTTCTCATAAATTAGGGTTTGTCAGTTTATATGGTACCAATGAGTCTGAGGATCAGTGATATTTCATTCCCATATTATTCAACTATATTGCCTGAATATATCCAGAACAGAAAATATTCAGCTCAGATAATATATATGCTCTCCCTCCACAGGGTGGTAATTCTTGAAATGCTCAGCAAATTGGACCACCTATCAAAGTTTAAAAAAACAGCAAGCCAAAATACCCTCCGTGCCTACAGGTTTCATTATTAGTGATAAACCTGCTATTAATCCTCCTGTTTTTATAAAACCGTAAGTCAAATACAGGATTCCTTTATCCAAGTCAAATAAAAATGAAATATCCAGGGAAGTCATCAGATTAAAGAATCAATGGTTACTTGCATGAAAAATCTTTTTAAAGAAAGACAAAAGAAACTGAAGCCTTGCGAATGAGGATAAAGAAATGGGAAGACAGGCCTCACAGCAACAGGGCATGTTCAAAGAGATACAGACATTTGCTTACTCAATGAAGTAGACCATCCCCGTGTCGGTGTAGGCCATCTCCCAGTTTTTGGGCAGTGGTTCCAGATTCTCATCTCTCATCATATAGTTTCTGAAGTCCATGGAGCTGTTTGTTTGGTTATAACTCGGGATGGTCTTCATCCAATCAGATGACTCAGAATGCCTCTCTCTGCTTTCTGCCATTGAACACAGAGCAGTGAACAAAGTAGGTAAAGTTACACTCCCTTCCAACAGCTCTCTTCATTTCCAACAAAATGCCAAACGTTTAATGCAAATTTCCTTGTGTATTACATTCACATTCTGCTATCATTTTTTGAGGTAACAAATAGACGTACCGAATTTTTTTTCATCTGCTAAGTGATACCAACCCAGTACAGCACCTCTGACACCAGCCTGGGAAAGCAGCGAAAGCCATACTAGAATCAATTGGGAATATTGAGAATACATACGTAAGTTCTGTGCGACCCACAGAAATGTCTGCGGGGGGCTTAGGGGGTCCTTTCATGGACCAGGCTATACTTGAAGCACTTTACGTATATGAACTCATGGTCCTCACAGCAGCCCTGTGATGATTTATTATGACACGTGTATTTTAGACTGAAGATGAAGAAACTAAGGCACAGTGGGGTTAACTTAGTCAGGGTCACACAGCTGCTAATAGCAAAGTCAGGATTCAAATCTAGGTGGTCTACGCTCTGAACGGCTATACAAACCTCTCTCACACACATTTAACACAGGCCTTTAAAATAATACTAGTTTTTAAAAAAAATTACACTCACTAGACTTTCTGTTGTTAAGTATAATTCTCTGTTGGTGATAGCACAATCCTTTGAGAGTCCCAGCGCCCATAAGGTAGGTGAGAATACTAAAATATGGTTACTGTCTAGGGAATTCACAATTCATGAGCTTCAAACTTACACCTCCAAGCTGTGGGTAATCAGAATCTTAGAAGAGGACTTAGATGTCATTACATATAGTACTTCTACTCCCACTGTCCTTTATTCAAACAAGTCCTATAATCCACTATTACTGCTACTTACTACCCTTCACCATTCCTCACCCCTCATCTGCGCCTTTGCCATGTCCTCATCGCCCTACTTAGGCAACTTAAGTTCCATGATCAGCCACGATCGTCGCTCCCTTGCAAACGCTACAAATTTCTCTGCCTCAAACTTACTTCAGCATATGTGCCTGGGTGAAGCCTAACTCTGCTTAACTCTTTCTACCTACTTTATGTTAGTACATGCAGCTGGACCCACGTTACAGTAACTTGTCCACTTTTAATTCGTGATCACTAACCTCAAGAGAGCATATAATGGTGTATGATAATCACAGGAAATTCCTCTAGTCCATTCACTCTGACAGTCTCCTGGATAACTGTTTCATACTCTTCTTAAATCTACAATCACTTCCCCCTCATCCCTCATCTCATTGGATGACCCTGTTTTGTCCACAAAGCGAAATCCAACCATCAGTTCTCAGTAGCCATCTTATCTGACCTATCGATGGCATCTGACATAGTTGATCATTCTCTTCCCCTGGCTTCTAGGCCCCTCTACCTTCCTGGTGCCTTCTTAGTCTGCCTGAGCTCCACACCGTAGAGGGCCTTCCCAGGGTTCAGTCTTTGGATCTTTCCTCTTCTCTTCCTAGAGTTACTCTTTTGGTGATCTCAGTCAGTTTCACTGCTCTACATGCTGTATTGTTGATGATGTCCCAACAGGCGTCTTCAGACCAGACGAAGACTTTAGATCCAACTTCAAACAGGACATTTGCATTTGGATGTCTAACAAGCACCTCAAGTTTAAAATATCCCAACTGAAGCTCCTACTACACTTTTCCAACCCAAACTGACTCCTCTTACAATCTACCTCATCTCGGGGTGCCTGGGTGGCTCAGTGGGTTGAGCCTCTGCCTTCGGCTCAGGTCATGATCTCAGGGTCCTGGGATCGAGCCCCACGTCAGGCTCTCTGTTCAGCAGGGAGCCTGCTTCCCCCTCCCTCTCTGCCCGCCTCTTGGCCTACTTGTTGATCTCTCTCTGTCAAATAAATAAATAAAATCTTTAAAAAGACAACGACGACAACAATCTACCTCATCTCAATAAAGGCAATTCCATTCTTCTGGATACTCAAGTTAAAAACCTTGAAGTGATCTTTGACCCTGTGCTCTCAGACCTCAAATCCAGTCTCAGCAAATGTTACTGGCTCAGGCCACTTCCCTGTCACGCTTTCATCAGGTCCAAACCACTATCTCTCGCGTAAATTACTGCAATAACCTCTTAAACTAGTATCGCTGTTTATGCCTGCCCTCCTACTGCCTATTTTCAATTCAGTAGCCAGAATAAGCCTCTTAAAATCTGTTTTATCATGGTACTCTTCTACTCAAAACCCCTTAAAGTTTTCTCATCTCAGAATAAAAAGCAGAATTCTTTTTTTAAAAAGCCAAATTCTTCCGACGACGTATAAGATCCCACATAATATGCATTTCCACACGCCCCCAATCACCATCCGACTGATCTCATTGCTCGTTGTTCTATTTCCTTCCATCCCTCTGCTCCAACCACATATAATGCATTGTCCACACTGAATCCAACTACATTGGTTTCCTCGCCTTTGTCTGAATATTCCAGGCATGCTCCCACCTCAAGGCAGTTGTACTTAAAATTCCCTCTGGCTGGAATGTTCTCCTCCCAGATATTTTGAGTTTACACCATCACTTCTTTTAAAGTCCTCTTCTCAGTGAGATCTTTCCTGCTATTCTACCTAAAATCACAAACTTTGGCCACCACCACTTTTTATCCTTCTCCTCCTCTGCTTTTTCTTGTTAGCACTCTCTAATATGCCATATGTCATTGATTCATGTTGGATAATTCTTTCTCTCCCACTAGAAGGCAAAGTTCATGAAGACAGGAGTTTTTGTCTGTTTTGTTCAGTGCTTTATTCCTAGCTGTTAGAAAAATGCCTACCACTTAGTGGCCTGGCAGGTGCTCAATAACTATTTGTTGAATGCGTAGCTAGAATAAAACACACGATTCATTCTCCAGGCGGAAAAAAGTGACAGAAATTAAAAGGCACCCAATCTGTAAATCAATCTGGAAGGGAGTCACAATCTTGGGACAGAAGTATGTTGGAGGAAAACAAAAGCAACTATATGATCTCTCATACTTGTCTGAACACAGTTGAGGTGACTGTGTGAGAGAGTTTGCTTAATAGCCAACGACTTGAAAATACTGTTTATGTAACAAGCAACACTTGGAAAAAAGTTTTAGCATTATTGTATAACCTATGTCTTCCTATGTGGGCATATTAGCATTCTCACATGAATTCTTCAGCAAGATATAAAATAATACACATACTGGTGTATACAAATTATTCTTTAACTATCCCCTCACCCCTTCCATTGCCAACAATTTTCTGATTTTTCAAGGCAGAAATTCTAGTCCCCAAAAGCAACACACAAAGCACATTTCCACAGCTTTCAGTAAGTTAACAACTAGAGTTCGTACTTATTCAGAAAAGACCAAGGGCTTTTAGTTCTGTATTTCTGTTTTGTTTTTTTCGTTAAAATAGTGTGGATATTTTCTCTTACAAAGAAATATATAATCCAGCGGAAGTGCCCACACACAATACAAACCGCCTCCCACTCTTGGATACTCACCCTTTAAATATCACCAGCACAAAGTTAGTAACCTCTGGTTTAACCACAGGCTTATATGACAAACATAAAGCTATGCCGATCACAGAGAGGTTTCCTTCCGAAGAAACTGCTGTGGTCACTGAGAAGCACCGCATTAGGAAGTAAAAAGAGACCACCACCCCCCACCCCCCACCCCCCGCCCCAAATGAGAATATGTAAATTCCCACCTTGGGACAGATTTATGGTCTCTAATCCCAGTCTTAAACATTTAAAAATGTTAACAGATTTCACTTAGTGGGAGAACAAAGCTGATATCAACATCAAAAGGCTGTACTGTGTGATGATTTCCCTTAACTAAACGCCCGTAAAGAATTAGACTGAATTCACCTAAACCTTTTCAGGCCTCTTTTCAGTCTCTACACCCAAGTATACTGGGGTAATTAATTTAACATCAAACATATTATGTGGCGTAACTATGTGAGATGTTAGGACTGTAAGACAGGACTCACACTCCACAGCATGACACAATGGACATATTAAGACGGTAAATTTTAGTAGCTGATGAAAGAAAACACAGATGCTTTGGGAAAATAATATGGTAATGGGTTCTGCAAATTTGGGGAGGTGATCAAATTCATCCATTTATTGGGTATCAAGGAAATATTTTTCTTCGTTCCTACTTTGTGCCAGGCACTGTTTATGGTGCAAGGATTACAGCAATGAACAAAACAAGCAAAACTTCCAGCCCTCGTGAAGCTCATCTTGTAGTGTTTTGAATAAACATATTATAATAAACAGCCCGGAATTAGTTCTGCTGAGTTTCTGTAGCTTCCTACTTATATGCTCAATTAGAAGGGTAAGAGTCTTCCAAGCAACCACCGCATTTTTAAGGGGGTACTCGAAGGAAGATTCTTCACCACTAAATTTCTGTTGGTTTTGCATTTAATGAAAAATAAGAGAGGTTTGGAAAAAAAAAATTTTTTTTTTTTTTTAGTGGTTCAGAATTTAAACTCAACATAGCGCTAACACATCTTTCAGATAATTTTTACTGGCATGTTTTTAGTTGAAGCCTGTATCTTAAAACTGTATTTTGTTCATATCCTGTAAAGTACAATGTAGGCCAACCAGATTCTCATCTCCCAGAACCTCAAATCTTTCAAGCAGTGGGATCATGGCAGGTTATGTTATTTCTAATGATAGCTTATCACGGACTGATCACAACTGCCACTTGGTGCAACCTCACCTCAGCTTGTAAGACGGTTGACAGAGACACTTCATTCCACACACAACCTTTTACAAATAATCAGAATCGCATCACTTGCTCTACACATGCTTTGGGAGAGATTCTACTGCTTCCAGTTCCATGTCGTGTTCAAGCCAACCCGGAAGATCAATGAGAAGTTGTTCATCTATTTACAAACCTGCAGTTCCACTGCCATTGACAGCGTCCTTGTCCTCGTCTTCTTCCTCTTCAGGTAGAGAGCTGTCCATTCTTTCCATCTTGCTGACAGATGTAGTTCGTTTTCTTTGGGATTCTGTGTCAAACTCATTATCAAAGAGGACCTGATCAACGGGATCTGGCTGGAAAGGGCTGGGTTCTGCTGGAGGCTTGGGAGTTCCATAGAAGTTTCCTGAAATGGACGAAATAGGCAGCTGAAAGGACTGATGTTGAACTGAGAGTCAGAACAAAATGATCCCATGTCTCTGCCCTGCTGTTTTATACCAAGGTTTCTGAATGGCCAAAAGGAAACCCAAACACTTCTTCCTGGGAGTGGAGGAGGGAGAAAACAGAAGAATTAATTTCTCAAGTGTCCTTCACCATGTATATTCTAACGCTAACTTTTTAATACTATTTGTACTAAGGATAGGAAGTTGACTTTATGTACATAGATTATTTATTCCTACAGGGCTTGCTTTGCATGGGCCCTAAATTAGGGCCTGATTTGTGAATTTAAATGCATCAATGCTCTCATGTAAGACTAACTGGCATAAGAAGTGGGAGTAAAAGAAGAGAAAACGGACTCAAATAATTTTGTTCTGATGTGTAACATAATGAACTATTTTGGTAAAATGAGGAAATATGTGGGTAAAGGATAAAGCTAAGAACCAGTGTGTGCTGAAATGTAGGCTGTTTATATAAAAGTAATTTTTAGGTTCTCTGAGCATTCTAATTATTTTATTTGACAATTTATTGAACAAATAGAGACATTATTAGCATAATTCACTATTGGCTTACTCTCAGGAAAGCAAGAAATACTTTAATATTCTACGTCTTGAAGATCAGGAATTTTCACAGTAAAAATAAATGTTCCAGAGTAGGATGAAAACAACTGAATATCTTAATTCGTCACGCAGTTCCCAGTAGGGAGCCAAATACAATGGAAAACCACTCGAAAGTTCTAGCTACATTAACAATCTGTGGCTCCTGCTAGTTTCTACCTTTTATCAGCCAGCCACTATGCTAATGCTATCGGAAGATATAGTTAGGGAATAAAATATTCACACTCTTCTTTCATTTATTTATTTTTAAAATCACACCTTCTAATCAAATTCCTGGACTCCTAAAGAGGCAGTTAAGATGCTCATCACATAAAATAAATCAATGGGGTATATAATGAATTACTTGTCTCTGATGAAAAAAAGCATAGGTTGTTCACCACCATACAGAGGCAAATCTACAAATCAATTTACCTTGAGCCATATGTGTGTGCCTTGTGGGAAAAGCATTAAGATAAATTCTTTGGACATCTGACTTTGGGTGGTGATTGTCATTAAAATATTCAAGACAAAACAATGAAATCAAACCAAAAAATTTTTCAACTACATCTTGCCTCTCTCCCCACTCAAGTACTCCCTTGCTCCCAAGTCCACATTTGAAATAGAGTTACCCATCACGCAGATGGATGCAAAGATTTGTATTAAAACAGACTCAGAGGGTCTCTGCAAACTTTCTAGCCCAGAGTAAAACAGGACCCAGTAAAGAGGCCAGCTCACACTTCTCTGGGATGGAGGACCCAGAAACATTCCAAAGAGAGGTCTGGTTGTGGAACAGGATGCTCCAGGATCTCAATTTTTCCTGCATTGTGTCCAACGATCACACTACCCAGGAATCTGGACATTCTATGACAAAAATAAAAAATCCCCCTTCCCTAAGGATAATAGTTTTAGTAGCAACATTAGACACATGTTTTACTGTGTAGTCTTAGTAATTATTATCTCACTCTAGGAAGTTTACCTGTTTTCTAGGGTGAAATCAGACAAATTCAGGATATTTTGATTGCCACCCATGATCATTAAGATTTTAGGACTTCATAATAAATTCTGGCACTTCCTTATTTAAACATAATTATTGGACTTAAAAAAACTAGCATTGCTTATAAGGAAATTGGGTCTATTTTTCTTGAGTTGTTGGTAAATATCAAGATTTGAGACACAGCAAGGCATAAAAATGACATGGTCTGTGAATCTTGACTATAGTTAATGACAGAAAAAGGTTTTCATCTTTTTGAAACTGTTTTGGAGGGGTTTTTTTTCCCACCTCTTTTTTCTTCTCTGAAGGTTTTTTTCATTTTTCAAATAGAACTACCAACTATCAAATATTTTAAATACATACAAAATCACAGATAATTATATTAGAAACTTATTTATTTATTTACTTATTTAATTTTTGCTAGATTCCTCTCAGGTCTCCATTTTCTCCCTGTTTAAGGACATACTTACACGGTCACATGTTCAATTAAGGTCCTAACTTCCTGTCAGTCCTTCCCATGCTCTCCCTGAGTTGTCCTGAAGTTGGTATGTATCATTTCCCTGCACATTGTGTACAATTAGGATGAATGTATATGCATACATAATATGTAAATACCATTGTTTTCATTAAAGATTCATAAAGGTTTTTCTAACATTTCATATCTTTTTTTATAAACAGTATGCTGTACTATATTCTTTGGTAACTTTCCTTTTACACAATTATATTTCTAAGACTTGTTCCTGTTCATATATGTAGATTCAAGTTTACTTAATTGCTGTATAATAGTCCATTTTCATGAACAAGTTAAAGTAAATATTATGAATTCCCCTACTAAAACAGAGCTGTTTCTGTTCTCTCCCTATTTCAAATAATGCTGTAATGACTGTTCTGATATGTGACTATGTAGGCATATAGATAAGGATTTCTCTAGAGCAGGCTTCCAGAAAGGGAACTTCTGGGTAAGAGTTAAGTGCATCTTCAAATTTACTAGCTATTGCCAAGATGCACCCCAAAGGGATTGTATCATTTTATACTCCTGCCACCAGCATACGGGAGTTTCTTCTTCCCACAATTATCAGACTTTAAAATTTCTGTCAATCTTATGGGTGTGAAATGGTCTACCTCAATTTGCATTTCCTTTAAATTTAGCACATAGCAATTAATAATATGTAATATGCCACTTTGTCATCTCCCATGTTTTTATACTTAACAGAGAAAAATGAAGGAGAATGCCTTTGTGATCTAGGGACAGAGCAGGACTTCTTCAAGAAAACTTTAAAAGCACAAACCCTAAGAAAAACAGTGATAAATCTGACATACAAAAATTAAGGATTTCTGCTTAACAAAGAGACACATGGACAAGCATATGAAGTGACAAAACGGGAGAAAATATCTGTGTCCAATAAGGAATTAACATCTAAATAAATACCTAACTATCTGAGGAATGTCCATAAATTTGAATGTGGATTGAGATCACACTCCTAAAAAAAATATACGACACAAATGAAAAAACTTGCAGAAGTCCAAAACACCAACAAGCATAGAAAAAGGTACTCCCAACTCTCTGACTACCAGAGAAGCTAGAATTAAAAGGAGCTCCCACTCTACAAGCATCAGATTGGTCAAATGATAGAGCAGGCCGGTGAGAACATGGAATCCTTCCTCTAGTGCTACAGGAACCCAGCCCCCAAGCATGGCTCGTGGGAATGCAGCGGCGGAGCTGCCACGGCTCCTTCATCAGACTAAGTACTCACAGACCTTATAACCTGACAATTCTGCCCCTGGGTAGGGGACATCCTCACACAGGTCTAGAGGAAGAGGATGCTGTGGCTCTATCTGTGGTGGTGCAGGGGGACTTGAAGCAATCTGGAAGTCAGTTACTAGAAGAGGGGTTCAGTAGAAGGCAGCAGAGCACTGTGCAGTGATTAAAAGGCAATGATTACATGTAAATATAGGGCAGTGACATGAATGAATCTAAGAAACTCTGAAATAACGGAGAACAGTTAAAAACTGGATGAGATCGAGAGCACAGTCCTGATGCAAATAATACATGCGTGCACACAAGACACATTTTGTGAGAAAGCAGACAAACCACAGCATACATGAGCAGGCAAAAAGGAGATCTCGGGAGACTCTGAAGAGGACAGACACAAGCAGGGCAGCACTAGGGGTAGACAAGCATGACAGCAATGGGCAGGTGGGTTGGACAGAGGGAAGGCACGGCCGCAGTAGCCCAGACATGAGCTTGTCTGGAGCCTGTGAAGAGGTGTGAGTGAAAAGAAAGGCATCATGAAAGCTGTTACAGAGAAAGAAATGACCAGATTTGGTGACAGACAGATGGGAACTCCAAGGAGAGGGAAGGAGTAAATGATGACTCCATCATTTTGAGCCCAGGATGCAGCTAAAGAGAAATTACAAAGAATTATTCTTTTGCCTAGAACACCAGTGCAGACTTGGATATGTGGAATTCAAGGTTAGTGTTTATTGAACACTACTGAACCATCTCTAGGCATTAAGATACTGCTAAGAAAGACGTGATACGGCTTTCCCACCAGGCCTGTGGAAAAGGCCACTACCACTGCACGAGAAAGCAATGACGGAGAAGTACTGCATGCTATTGGGAGTGGACAAGCGTGCCAGGGAAGGGAGAACAAAGGATGGAACACAGCATCATTTAAAAATTGAAACTGAGTGAGCCTCTACTTCCCAGAAATGAGTAGAGAAGAGATATGAAAAGAAAACCAATTATTCCATTTTTGTTGTTTTCCCCCCAATCTATATTCTCTTTTCTCCAAGAGAGCCACACTATAGATTATTTAAAGTGCACAGCATTTGGAATCCTAACCACAAATAGAAAGCAAACAATAAACACTTGTTGAGTTCATATGATGAATATGAATTACTACAAAATATGCTAACTGTCTGGTTTGAAGGCTTTCAGTATATTCTTCACAATCAGCTTTATAATATGATGGAATGCTTCTGCTTGCTATTTAATCCCATTTTAGGTTGTAAATTACATACGGCTCACCAAAAGAAAACGTTCCCAAAGACAAAGAGAAAACAACTTAAAAAAAATGGTACTTTACTAATCAAATTCCCTTTGAAGTAATTCCAGCCATTTAGATAGTTTCCTGGGTTGCTGCTGTTGTTAGTATTTGGGGACATACCATCATATGTTCCACTTTCTAATAATGCTCCACTCTCTTCCAGTGCTTTGAACTGTTCAACAGAAATGAAATTATAGTCCACCCCTGGTACTTCCCCATCCCTGGGGGCCCTTGTAGTGCCTAAGGGAAAAAAAAAAAGAAAAAAAACAGGTTGCTTTAAACTTACAAAATATTGAGAATAGAAAATACAGTCTATAGAGAACACATGGGAGAAAACACACTACTGAATATATGGTACCTTCTAGAATGAGGATCAGAAAATTTTAGGCAATGTTTTTAGGTGAAAGTAGGACAATAATGTAGGATGACTAAATATACTTTAATATAATCTACAGATAGCTATGAAATTCAAACTACAAAGACTAACAGATTTCTACTGTCAAAGGAAGCTAACTTTCTATCACCTCAATTATCACCACTTAACATCTGAAGGAAAGAGAAATCCACAAATGATAAGACTTCATATTTTGTGGGACATGGTTATTCTTTTTTTTTAAATTTAAGTATAGTTGACATACAATATTAGTTTCAGGTGTATACAGATTTCATTTTTATCAAGATACCTTATGTACTTTTTTCTGGTATAAATCAAAACAGAAACAATTTTTAAAAGTTCTTTTAACATACTTAAGTTTTAAAATTTGGACAAATATTAATTATGAGATTACTTTAGTTTAATGAATAAAAGGCTTAAGGCTTAAGATAGGTACTCACATATTGCTTCTCAGCCATTATTCTCTTTAAGTAATTTCAAAAATTTAAGAAGTACATTATTTAATGAAATACACTATGGCAACAGAATAGCAAATTCCTATCAAGGAATTCACACTAAAGTAAAATCTTTCAGATCAGAAGTATAAAGTCAGGTTATGGCAGCATTGCTACATGTGACTGAGTTTTCCTGAATATGAACCAACATTTTTGTGAACTGATACTGAAAACATTATTTCAAATAGTAGAGAATACAAAGAAGAGACCGAAGGATTTAGCCTCAAAACAGATTTGGGATATTGTAGCAAATCCTGCACAAGAATGCCTTCTCAAAACTGTTCCTCCACTTATGCTCCCTAGTCGTTAATGGCACTCCATGCCAGAGGGCGGAGAGTCCGCCATCTTGGGTTCCTCTCTCCATTCCACATCTGGTCAGTAAATCGGGTTGATTCAATCTCCTCAATATGTCTAGGATTTATACACTTTTCTTCATTCTCACACTCACCTAATTCATATCACTATGTATGGTCTGTAATGTTGGTCTCATAGGGTCAACACTTACTCTTCCCCGGCTATGTCCCTTACCTGAACTGCAGCCAGTGACTTCTCCAAAACAATGATCTGAACAAAAAATCTCTATCAAAGGTTTCCCATGATCTTCAGTATGAAAATCCTCTTCAGGTTCTTTCTTGCCTCACCCCTTTCACATTCTAGGCTTTAGCCATAATTTGTTTTTCGTTTGTTTGGGGGGACTTTTTAAAGTTCTTTTAATGTTTCTTGAACTTGCTTACCTCCACAAGGACTTTGTCCAAGTCATCCCTTTCCCTGGAAGACTTCCTCTTCCCTTTCCCACTCTTACCTCAGCTAAACCTATCTACTCATCCTTTACATCCTGGCTTAAGAAGTTTCTTTAGAGAACCTTCCCTGATTCCTTCCTGGGATGGAACATGAAGGAATCATGTCTACATGGTTCAGAATAACAGTCCCAAGTCTTAACACAGTGAAATCATAGTAGGTACTCAATATAGACAGTTGTCAAGTAAATTACATGAAACTTTACACAAATATAATTGGCACAGTATCTGGAAATAATATTATATATTATATATGTGTATTAATACACTATGTTATAATTAATGGGAAATTATTAATTGCTTTTTAGTTGTATTACATTCTATTATATCGTGTAACATGAAAAAAATCCACAAAGACAATAAAACATTAACAGTAACAATCTTAGAAAATGATTTAGCCAATACTATAAGCACCAGAGATTATATTCAGTAGTTTTTCCCTTGTTCTTACCCAACTTTTTATTAAAAAATGAGCATTTCTTTTATCTGTTTTATATCACAAAGGATAAAAAAGCTCGAAACAGAACTTTCTTTTGTTAAGATATTTTTGTCATTGTCAAATTTGTTTTCTCATGCATTGGCTAAACTACATTGTTAGATTCCCCAAATCAATAGCTTTTAGCTTCATATTAACTAAAAATTAACATTGGAAAATAAATTTAATGACTAAAATTTATAATTATCTATGATAGGAAAACATGGCCACAATATTTTGTACCTCCTCTTATCAAGAGATGGGGCAGCTTGCTGCTTCATCTGAAATCCGGACTGGATTTATGATTGCTTTGAAAAATTTAATGCAGAGGATGTGATGATGTATGGGTTCAGGAGTCTAGACTTCCATCTTTGTTTTCTTGGAATGGTTCCACCACCAAGTATGGAAGTCCAGGTTACACTACGATGAGAGAGCCCCAGCCAACAAATAGCACCAAGGTTCTAGACATGTGAGTGAGGCCATTTTAGCCCCTCTAACTCCAGTGAAGGTGCCAATGACTGCGGCCACATGAGTGACCCCAGTTGAGCTCATCTAACTCACAGACTCATGAGAAATAATACATGATGCTTATTTTAAGCCATTAAATTCTGGGGTGATTTGTTATGCAACAAAGGCTAATAGGAATATTATCCAAATAAACTCCACTATGAAATATCCTGATTATATAAAACCTGAAAAACCCGATTTAAGAGCAAACTGTATTATAGATAATACTATAAAAAGAGCACTGGTCCGAGGGGCAAGCTACTCTGTTTTAGTGGGGGATTGTTAGTAATGGTACAATTTTAAGCAAGCACTTAATCCCTCTGAGCCTCATTCTCTTTCTGCAAAGTGGTGTTAAGCAAGATGATGTTCATGATTCTTTCCACTAGCAAAAATGAAATATTATGTGTGACACACATACATATATTTCCAAGACTTAAAAAGGGCTTAAATGTTAATTCTCTACCAATATAGGTTTTACAAATTTTCACATCCTCTCTCCAAAAATGGGTAATCCCATACATGTAAGAAGTTCTCACCTTACGTTTACCCTACCCTATTGCCTTCAGCATTCCAGAAAATTTATCTTGATATTCTCCTGATACTCTACATATTTAATGTAAAGCTTTCTATATCACCTCCAGTCCCTACTGTATTTCTTTTTACATAAAAATTCCTCCAAGTTCTGTTTACTCATGGTCTCCAACTCCTCTTTTCTCCGTTTCTCAAGCCCAATCCAATCAGATCACTGTCCCACCACTCCACTGAGACAATGTGCTGTGTTCATCAGAGGTCTCCACTTTGCTTAGCCCAATACTTAAGTCTCAGTCCTCATAATACCTAACCTTGCAGCAACATTTGATGTAGCTGATCATTCCCCTTTTTGTGTTTTATCCTGAAATATACAGACAGGTGTATAAGACATATATGTAAAGTTTAACAAGTAATAATAAAGCAAACCCACCCAAGTGAAGAAGCAGAGTATCACCAGGAGACCAAAAGCCCCCTTGTACACCTGCAATCATAAATCTCTCCTTCCTCCAATCTTGATATTTGTGATGCCGATTTCCATTCTTCTTTAAAATGTTGTTTGTTTTACCAATTACATAATGCATTCTACAGCTTAGTTTTGCCTCTTTTGTAACTTCATATGAACGGAATCATGCCATATGCATCCTTTTATGTCCACATTAACACTTGTAGTCAGGTTTTTAAACTTCCACCACCATGTGAAGGCATCTCACTGTGTATTTAACGTGCGGCTGATTTACGGAATCGCACGTTCTTTTTCAAGTATCTACTAGCCATAGAGATTTCTTCTGTTGTGAAGTGACTGTTCACGGCTTTTGCCACTTCTCTGTTGGGGTGCCTGTCTTCTAAAACTTGATTTGTAGTTCTTTACTATAGTACTTTATCAAATCTAAGTAATTAACAGCTTCCAAAATGCACCACTATTTTATCACTAAAAAAAGAAAAAAAAACCTGGCAATTAAAATCAAAAGATTCCATCTACTGTAAGATACAATCCAATTGCAGACAGTAAGTTAAAGTGTGAAATAACTGTGGCTTAGTATTGATAAAGCACTTCAGTCCTTTGTCAGATATATGTTGCAAAAGGGGAGTTTCTACAAAAATCTGAAATAAGGGGGAGCCTGGGGGGCACAGTGGGTTGGGCATCCAACTCTTGGTTTCGGCCTAGGTCATGGTCTCCAGCCCTGCCGCAGGCTCTGTGCTCTGTGTTTAAGTTTCATCAGTGCTCGCTGATTAAGATTCTCTCTTCCTTTCCCGCTGCCCCTCCCACTTGTGCTGGCTCTCTACAACTAATAAATAAATCTTTTTAAAAAAATACTTTCGGGGCGCCTGGGTGGCTTGGTGGGTTAAGCCTCTGCCTTCAGCTCAGGTCATGATCTCAGGGTCCTGGGATCGGGCCTCACATCGGGCTCTCTGCTCAGAGCCTGCTTCCCCCTCTCTCTCTGCCTGCCTCTCTGCCTACTTGTGATCTGTCTGCCAAATAAATAAATAAAAAATCTTAAAAAAAAAAAAAAAAACTTTCTGGGGCGCCTGGGTGGCTCAGTGGGTTAAAGCATCTGCCTTCGGCTCGGGTCATGATCCCAGGGTCCTGGGATCGAGCCCCGCATCGGGCTCTCTGCTCAGCAGGGAGCCTGCTCCCCCCCGCCCACCTGCCTCTCTGCCTACTTGTGATCTGTCAAATAAATAAATAAAATCTTTAAAAAAAAAATTAAAATTAAAAAAAATACTTTCTATAGGAAGAGGGTAGTGGGGTTATGGACACTGGGGTAGGTATGTGATATGATGAGCGCTATGAAGTGTAAACCTGGCGATAAACAGACCTGTACCCCTTGGGCTAATACATTATATGTTAATAAAAAATATAAAAAATTTTAAAAAGTACTTTCTAGAAACAGTACTTTCTGTAAAACTGTGTTCCCCAAAAAGTAGAGCTTACAGAGAAAATACATTAGGTTTGACTTCTCAAAACCTGTTGCAACTTTGTAACCAGAGCCTAGCAAAATCACTAACAACCCCAGTTAAAAATACTAGGACAGTTTAAAAAA